ACCACATCCGGACGGGCCACCAGCTGGAAGTATAACCGAAAGATGGTTAAAACTGTTCTTGTCAAAGCTGCAGATTTGTTTTTATTAGAATATAACAAATAATAATAAAAACAAAAAACATTTACAGAAATGTGATGCAGGTCACAGCTGATTGTAGTATTTGTGGATTTTAGCTTCTTATTATATGCAACATTTTGAGGACTTTTTTCCATTCAAAAATATAATGTATTGACAACAGTAGCATTAATTAATCATTCAGAAACTCACAGATAAATAAGAATGTGTTTGTGTGCCCAGATTTGATGTAAAAGTGTTCAAATATTTACTTCACAGTCAAGTGGTGTTGTTGTTTTGATTCTCAAGTCAAACTATAACATCTGTTTCCATTCACAAGTTAAACAATTTATGACTTTCTTTCAAAAAAAAAAATAATAGTAATTGATTTTCATGTGCATCCCCAGTACCCATTTTGAAGCACATTTTGCACACTGAATGAATATTTAGTCTGCATCTAACCTGCTTAAGTTCAGCCACTGTCAGACGGTTCATTCTCCGCAGTTTCTTCTTGGACAGTTTGGGGACATCACTTTTATCCACCTCCTTTTGATAAAATATAAAACTTAAGATTCAGCCATTTTCCAGAACAAAAATTTCACTTGAATCACTGAACTGCATTCTCAAACCTCTTCACTGTCGTCACTGTCGTCTTTCCGCTGCAGCTCGATGCCTTTCTTCCTCAAATACGGAAGCTCGTGTTTTTCTTTCTCTGGTTCCTTCTCCTTCTCTTTCTTCACATCGTCTGTAAGCTGGAACGAAAGACAATGCGGACTATTTAAAGCAGAACATATGACTATATTCTTATATTAATATGTTATAGAGACAAAAGCGTGAATACATTTGCAAAGTGTTTACCAGTAAAACTCTTTAAATCCAAAGTGTAAATTTCATCAAACAAATCTCAGAAATTAAGTTTGTCCCAGGTATAGCTGGTTACTATAGCAACATCAGTACCAGCATGAAAGTATCTGGGTATGTACACTTCCCACATTTCCTTTTCTACACACACACTTCCTCTAGCTCTTCTGGGGGAAAATGAGCAACTACTACTACAATATTCTTTCTTACATATTAGTGATGTTAAATGAGATTTTACCTTGAAAGCATCAAAAATCCTCTTGAAGAAGATGTAGTTGGGGTCGTAGATCTCTGGCTCCTCTGTGACGTACTCGATCTCCACCTCTGGGTCCTTGTCGTTCTCTTTGTCCTTCACTCCGTTCTCCTGCTGCTCTGCCTGCTCCTTCCTCTCCATCGCTCGCTTCTTTTTACTCTTCTTCTTTCGGTTTCTGCGCTTACGGTTTTTCTGTGAAGATGTTTTAACAGTCAATTTAGTGTTACAGAAAGCTCACGATTTCTTTTAAACAATAAAATAGCGATCATGTAATATGGAACATTATGAAACACAAGCTTGTAACAGACACTTCCACCAGAAAAGTTGCATAGTGTGCCTTTAAATCAAGAAGGAAAACCTACATCTTTCTTTGAGGCATCGTCATCATCAGCATCAGCCATTTTAGAAGACGAGTTGGGGTCGTCTCCCTCGTCATCGTCATCATCTGTTTTAAATGACAAACATGTAAAGCCAAATTCTGCACGATAATTGTTCCAAGTGCAGAAACATACTGAAGTTAACAGAGCTGATGCACTGACCTGCAGCGTCTGTGTTCTGTTCCTGTCTGATCTCCTTCAGCTGCAGGATCTTCTCCAAAGCCTGTGGAATCTTTGGTCCGGTAACACTCACCTCATCATTTTGCCATGACTAAAAGATGAGAAAAAGTAAAAGTATCAACTGTTATTTAATGTTTAAAAAGTCAAATACTAAGATTTCAGTAATATCCAACCTCTCTGTCATCACCAGGAGGACCCCTCTGTTTTTGGTTGGGGATTAAACCAGGAGGCAGTGGTCCTAACAGAAAAAAACACAACTTTATATTATGGCAACAGCAATGAAGAGAAAAACATTTGCACATTTTAAATGTGATGATCTAACCTTGTATTAAGCTGGCAGTGGGCAGGGTTAAGCCTCCCGGGCCTCCCTGCATCTTGGCCATTTCCTGTTGGCGCTCCTGCTCCAGCAGCACAGCAGCCTGAACATGGATCATGTGGTTAAAAACAACCAACAAACCAGCTGGTAACAACCATAGACTATGGTAATAACTCACTCTTTTCTGTTGCTCTAGAAGGTCCTGCTCATCCAAAACTCGAACATCTCCCTGCAAAATAAAAATAAGATTAACCAAAGAAGCCCTGTCAGCTCAGCCACACTACAAACACACACTAAATAGTTTCAGGTCGTCCACAGTGCTCACCTGTTTGGCCATCTCCTCCTGCTGCAGCACCATGGCTGCTCTCTGCTGAGCCATCTTCAGCTGGTCGTCCTGGGACATGCCAGGTGCCATGCCAGGTGCCATGCCAGGTGCCATGCCAGGTGCCATGCCAGGTGCCATGCCAGGCTCCATGCCCATGTGCATGCCCGGGGGCCCTCCTGGTATCATATTCATCGCTGGCATCATCCCCATACCAGGGGGTATAGACATCTGTGCTATGGGGATACCCCCCATCTGAACAGCAGAGAACACGTCAATAACACAATCAAAAGTGAAGAAGAGCACTACAAATTTCAGTCATCTTACAGCAACTTCAGGTTTAGTGAGGAGTATCCCAGTCTGTAAAGCACAAATAAATATAAAGGTTTACTGTGGGAGGATAATATAATGTCGAAGAGTAAACAAATCCAACAATATGTCATAATTTGTTAAACATGTGATAGGTGTCCTCTTACCTGCATCATGTATCCCTTCAGTCTGTCAATCAGTTCCTCTCTGGGACCTGCACGACACAAAACAAGAACATACAGACTCAGTGAAAACCTCCAGTCCCTCCAAAACAGAACCTCTCAAAACTATGTGAGCTAGCAACACTGAGGTTAGCCTACAGTACCAGAAGTAAAGGTTTAAGTTGAGAAAGATCCAACATACACTTTTTAAACATATTTGTGAATATCAGTCTGATTGTACTATGAGGCAGTTTAAACGTATGGAAAAGTTTGTAATAAATCTTTCATTAAAGTTGCAGCAGTTAGCTTAAACTAGCTTGAGTTAGCTGAGCCTGGACGACAGCGCAGGACTTTCCAGCGCTCACACGCAGATTCTTACCCATGTTTGGGGCTCCGATCTCCGCCAGCCGCGCCTGCAGCTCCGGGTTGCTCCATGAGTTTAAAGCCGTGATCGCAGCGCCCAGGTCGGCGGGGAGACCCTCGGCTCCCGGGGGCCCGTCGGATGCCATGTTGAGGTTTACTCAATGAAACAACGACCGTGGCTACCGGAAGAAACACGGCAGCGAGGTGCGAGCAAAGAACCACGGGATACTGTCTCAATGCATGCTGGGAACTGAAGTCCACAAGTCAAAGTGTAATGCTCATTTGTGCCTTTAGGTGTCAGTGTTTACGCGTTAATTCGCCTGAAAAGTGGGTGAATCTTCAAATATATAGGTCAACTTTGAAAATAAATATTATCTACAAAGCTTAAGTCATTTAGATACAGTAAATGGCTACTTTTTGACTGTTAGACTTAGATTCAAACTTTAGACAAACTTTATTGATCCACAAGGGAAATTATTTAGACACAGTAGTTCATTCATCACAATATAATATAATAACAATGAGTAAAACATATAAATGGTAATAATAAATTCTAAATAAGTTGCAAGAGACAGGTGTCAAATAAGACATAAATGTATATGTACAAATCAAAATAAAACTGAAAGATAAGTCATAAAATAAAATGTGTGTGTTACGTGGAAACATTTTGCTTAAAGAGTTATGACTCAGTGTAGCCAACATTGCTGAGAAAATAAAGCTTATATAAGTAAACAAAATGACGCACCAATGGAGAGGAAATTATTTTACCTTTATTTTATTTAAGTTATTCATTAATCATAGGCTATAGAAGTCACAGAACATAAATAACACATGAGCACAGTCTTTTTTTTAATGCAGATTTTCAGATACAAACAAAAACAGCATCTTATAAAAGTAAACAGTTCAAATGAAAATAAAATAAATGCATAAAAACACAACAGTGAATAAAAAGCAAAGGAAACAAATGACAACACAATGGAACAAAACTAGTGATGGGCTACAGGAGACTTACATGTAGTTATTCAAATTGCATTACAAACATATCCAAAAGTGTGTAGTCTATTGCTTTGGTAGTTTTTTGCACCTATTATCGAAGAGCAGAGGTGTGCAGGAGAGGTCAATCACGACTAGAGCAGCCTTTGCGCAGACGCACCAGGCGCACGACAGAGGGAGCGGTGCAGCGGAGAGGAGGAGGCGGACAGGGCGTTTCAGTCCAAAAAAATACGCCTAGCAGAAAGCGAAGGGGAGGGGACCAGCGAGACTGAACATGGCAGAGAAAGGAGAAAGTTAACAGCCAAATTTCATGTCTTAAAGCGGGCATTGAAGGACGCGATCTTTAAGGTAAGTATAACATTTACTCTGTTTGGATTGTTTGTGTGTTCGCGCGCGTTGCAGAGAGATTTGTGGTTTTACTTTTATGGTGAAATCCAAATGAGGAAAACCGAAAGCATATTCAAATCTTGGCTCATGACCAGCTTGTGTAGAATTGCATTTGAGCAAACCAGAAAATACTGCTACACTGCATGTTAATTTTTATGATTGCATAGACCATGTCTGTTTATGCCAACTGTTCTTGTTAAAGCCATAGACAAGTTTATAAGTTAGACAGCTGGGGTTTGCATGCCTCCTATGAACCACACCTACCATGACTTGGGCTTATCTGTTCGAGCCATGCATTTAAAGTGGTAATATGTTATGTTCATAAATATTTTTTTGACAGTTTGCGTTACTTTAAAGTGCATGATGGCTCATTTAAATCTTTATTATTTAAAAAAAAACACCTCTGCCAATCTCCCAGTGGTCAGTTTGAGTGTCTAGTTTATTTTTTGCAGGGCTATTTTCTGCTTTGCTTCAGTCCAGAGACATTTTAGGTATTTTATTTCACTGTAAACATTGTTTGGAATATGAACCCCGTGAGTTAAAATGCTTACCCAGAGCTCGAACACGCCCACACGCGCTTAATTGCATTTTTTACTGTACATTTGGGAACTTCTTATTTTTGTCTTCCATGCCAGACACAAACATCAGCAGAAAAGTAAGTCTTAATGTCTGCATATCTGCTTAACTTGTGTGACCTCTATATGTTTACAATAATGTGGAAGTCTTTAAACATAACTAAATAACAGCTAAACATACAAATACCAAAACACTGTCTCCTATTCAATGGAAAATACAGGTTATAGACAATGACAAAATGGAAATCTGCACTTAAAACTTGATTTTAAAACCCTATGTAAACCCAGTCTGTTTGTTGTGAGCGTCTAGTCTTGGTTTGACCTATAATTTAAATGTATTACAACCACAGCAACTTCTGGCCACAGTGCCAAAACAAAACAAAAGAAGAGTCTCTGATTTTTATACGCTACCTTCAAAAGTTATCTGTGAAAGATTTAATTCAACTCAAAATCAGGGAAAAGTCAACCGTATTCTGTCAGGAAAAACTAATTTGTAAATGCGTATGGTGTGAATTGACAAAAAAAAGTTACAACATGGCACTAAACCAAATCAGGAAGTGAGACCAGGAAGTTATGAATCTTACTTGAACTGATATTGTGTCTGACTCCTAAAGTATAATTTTCAAGAATTACATAATGCCTAAGCGAAGTAATCCTTTGTTTCAATATTACATTTATAATTGGAGATATCTTAGTGTACATCTCCTGAACTAAGTTTCATGCTCTAAAATATGTGATTGTTTGAAAGACACGATTCTGCTCATTCATTTTCAACTAATTTTGCAACACTTTCTGATTTTATTTATATATGATATTTTGATATTAGTTAAAAAGACAAAATAACAAAAAATAAGATTGCTCAAGACGAATAATAATACAAAAATGAATGAATAAAATAAATAGAAAATAAATAATAAAAAATAAAAATATCTGCTTTTTTTAATCTGTCTTATATTGTTGGTTTGGGAGCTGTTCCTGATACCTCTCTCTGTCCCTGTTTTCACTTCTGATCTTCCTCACACCTACTCTGCTTGAACAGGGGCTCTGCGTGTTTGTGGGACAGAGAGACAGTTCACATGTGAAGTGAAATCAAATATTCATTGAAGCCAGAATTCATCTCGTGTGAGTCTCTTTTTCGCTTCCCTGATAACGTCCCTGATAACACGCAGAACATGTTAATGCTGCTAATGGACGGAAGTCACTGCTTATTATTAAACATTAAGGAGGATATTTTTGACATAGCGGGTTGTGCTCTGATCGTATAAATAGAAATAAAGATATAAACTGTTATTCTTGCAATATTTAACTAGAAAAAATGTGCAGACGTGCATCTTTGTGATAGTCCCAAACTGGAATAACTGGAGAAAACCATATTTAAACTCCGAACTATGGATTCACCAATCCAGCTTTTCCAATACCAATATCGATGTGTATGTACCGATATCCTTTATTAAACGATACCGGTGTAGGGAATGAAAATTACATCTTTTCTCTCAAAACACAGTTAACTTATTACAAAATTGATCTGATTGTGTTTGGGGGTGTGCAAAAATATCAAAATATCATATTGTTTAATGTGATGATACAGTATTGATATCGTGGGCTGCTGTATCATTATATTATCAAGAGTATTTTTAGGTGCATTTTACTAAATTCATTTGTATAAGAGCTACAATTGTGTTGATATTTTCACAGTTAACTTTGTGCAAACTTAGTGGACTTAGCAGACTTTTAATATCACAGCCATGATTTAACCTTTGTTTTTCAATGAATTGTATCGAAATATATCCGAAATAATACCGAATCGTACTGAATTGAAAGTATCACAAGTATCATGTCCTGTGTATCGAGGTATGTATCGTATCGGCAAGTTTTTAATGATACCCAGCCCTAATTGTGTTATGTAACTGTTATATATCCTGCAAGTAAGTACAAGTGCGGCTTTGTATGACTTATACTTCAAACATCATGAGACGTCCTGGGCCTTTGTCAGTCAGTAAAGAGTCCGACCAGGATATCAGCTTAACTAATGGATTTCCTTGGTCCGGCAAATTTTCCTGTATCGACATGTAACGATATCCAAATCTCACAGTGCGATATTATCACGATATGCATCTCACAGTACGATATTTATTGCGATGTTTTGAAGAGGTTAATATAATTGTAGATGGGACACTTTTTTGCTTTTAAAATACCTTGACAAGATTTTGGTGTGAATTATTACTGTGATAATCCCAACAAGTCAAGTAAAAAACATATTTCTTCATGTTGTCTGCACTGAAATTAATCATGGGATATGTAGTTTCCGATGTTCATAAGCTACTATAAAAAATGCATTTAAGCAAAGGAATTTGTAATTTGATATATTTTGACAGTCCACGATATTATTGTGTGACTTTTGATGAAACGATATCACAATATTTCTATCATTGTTACATCCCTAGTACTGATGCAGACCTACTCCAAAGTACCATATTAAAAAAAAACCTCATTACTCATAGTATTATATCTTATTATATGATGAGAGATGTTTAAAATGTTACAGAGCCCAAAAATTTTGAACTTTGGAGTGAAACTATTTGTCAGAGTATTGATCTATCTTGCTGCAATAGTTAAAATGTTCAAATGGGACAGTATATTTACTCCTTTTGGCTGTATCCTCCAAAAATAATCATACATTCTTGAATAAAATCACAAGACTGATCAATGCTAAAATTGTTCTGCTCCAGTCTTCATATTTACTAATTTAAAAACATTAACATTAGCATTAACCTGTGTATGTAAAAACAAATTCTAATGAAAGTTTTGTTAAATTGTTAATTTTTTGTGCACATGCTATCCTTAAATACTCTTTATATGGGTGTGGCCCTTGTTGCAACTGCGTGATACAGAAGGTCTGCAGCAATATCAGGCAAGTTCTCCTCAAAGTCAGATCCAGCACTTCACTTTGGCAAAGAGGGAGGGCTTTAAAGTCATAAAAAAGCTTGAGAAAAATACAAACGCCAAAAATAACCCACTGTTTCCGTGTGTGAGAGACAGATACAGAACCAAAAAGGCAGGAAAAACTCAACATATTATTACACGGAGTTGAACTGAGCTGAACCTGTTTCTTGAGCTTCACACTACAGAACTGACACTGTGTCCTCATTGGCTTTGCTTAATTAAAAAGCCAAATATGTTTGCGTTTCTTCCACCTTCTTTGTTCATCAATGCACTATAGACCTGTTAATAAACCCACAGCACCCAGTATTTGTAAAAGGATTAAACATTGACTTTTGTTGGTCCAAAGATGTGCGCGATTGTGTTCAGTATTAGGTGTTTGGACAGTGTGCAGAATTTGAATAACAACCAAAAAGATGCAAAAAAGGGACAATCCAAAATAAAAAGACCAGTAATGTACAGTCTAATCTTTAAAACCTGCTTGTGTCCATTGAGACAGATGTTATTTTGCCTATAATGTTACACAGTATGGCATTAAACATATCAATTTCACATTTATTAAAAAGAAATACTGTACATTTTTGCAGTGTCTTCTCCTCATAGATCTGATCTGGTGGTGGCATTTATACTTATGTATCAATGGTGATACACATGTTTAATTAATTAATTTATCGTGGGAGATTCTAGGCGAGGGGTGTCCAAACTGTGTTCAAACTGTAGGGCCAATTGTGGACCTCGGACTTGTTGAATTGGCCAAACGAGAGGCATTACTTACACAGTAACTTACACTAATAGACAGTTAAGTGTCTCCACCACTGCAACCTCAATTACACCACACTGCATTATGATAACTGCCTAAAATCAGTGTCTTTTTAAAGGTATAATAGTCAAAAAAAAGTTTGGACATCCCTGATCTAGACAAAGTAATTACATCTCCATGAAAACAAGCAGCTGACAAACCCTCTACTAAAAGCTACAGTGCACATGTAACCAAGACATATACAGGCATGTTTTGGCACATTTCTGTACTTTCCCGTCCAAAAACCCACACTACAAATGTGTATTCACTAGAGACCAACTTCCTGTGTCATAAAACATCCCCTAGTAGAGTTGATTAAACTTTGACTACAAATTGTCCCTGTAACAAAGTGATCAGTGTAGTAAAGTAGCGGCTACATGTTTTTTGTGTGACTAAGCCCTGTGCTATGCGCTCCCAGCATGTGTATGCAGTTTAGTGAAAGGCAGAGAGAGGCAGAGAGGTGGAGAGGGAGGACTCTTTGGAGTGTAACTGTGTGTGCAGTGTGGGTGGACGTACAGGTTCTTTTGTCAGGGGTGCACAACAATGACTGATGCATTAAGACCAGCCCAGCATGCTTTAAATATCAGTAGTTTGTTTACATTGGGCTAATAGAACTACTGGAATTAAAAAGATGAATGAGGAAGTGGAAAGTTAAGGCACATTTTATCGGTCCTGTAGGGAAAGTTGTCCTGCATTTGACCCATCCTTCAGAAGCAGTAAGCACAGTGGACCCATGAGCTAAGCTAAAATAAATAAATACTAATAATTGAAAAAATCCTATTTCAGAAGTAGTTTGAGGCTTTTCCAAAAACGGACCTAGTGCTGACATAGATATAAACATTTAATAATAATACACATATTGCAAAAATAATACCTGTAATTTATTGTAATTTCTTTCTTTCTTGTTTTTCAGGTTTGGCTAGATCCATTTCCCCTGCTTTACCCAGAATAGGACAAGCCCCATTTGGATTATATTTTCCTTTGTTACCCCGGAGACTGCAGATCTTGTGTGTTTTCTGCTGTAGCTGAACCACAAGTAAGCCGCACGCGGCTGCAGCACTGGCACTCATATATTTTTGATGTCTTCTTAATGGCAAAGCACGCTTCATCCTGATTTATGATCAAGCCCCCAAACCATTACCACTCACTGCAGAATCCCATCCCCTCTGCCTCTGCTGCGCTGCTAATTCTACAAAAGCAGTTGCTTTGTTAAGTATTTACACTTTTTGATACTTCAAAACAAAGTGACCCAGAGCTGTCCACGTGCCCGAGCCATAAATGGAGGCACCCATCTATGCCACAGGTATGGCCGCTCGTCTCCGGAACCAGTGGGACCGGAGTGAGGGGCTGGGGCAGAACCACAACGCCGTGAAGCTGTTGGGGCAGGACTTTGAGTCTCTCCGATCCCAATGCCTCCGGAGCGGGAAGCTGTTTGAGGACACCTTCTTCCCAGCGACAAGCTCCTCTCTGGGCTTCAACGAGCTCGGGCCCAGATCAGCCAAGACCCAGGGAGTGCGCTGGATGAGACCCACTGTGAGTATATTAGCATCTAGTTTTCACACAAGTGTAACCATGGATTTGTAACGGAGTATCAACTTTTGACAAATTTATTGTTGTAGCAGAAGTATGGGGAGCCAGTTGTTGCACATAACTACCTAGTTTTTGTAAAATCACAGTAAGAGCAGATGGCAACTTAAGTGTGATCCTGTAGGACTACTATATTCTTCAATAATATAAACTTTTTTTTTAACTTTTACTCCAAACGCTGGTTTTCTAGGTTTTATTTATAGTGACACTATTTGTAAGCAGTAGCATTGACTGGTCGTACTTCCTTCTTTGAGACATGTCCATACAGTGCAGTCAGACTGGTCAGAGCTTGTCCAGTGTTTTTAAAAACCTTTTCACTTCCTTAAAGAATGAGACATGAACAAATATCACAGACGCTCTCACGCTCTTTTTTTTTCTTTTGTTTAAATACTCCACAGCTCCTTAAACTTATGTTAGGAGAATACTCTAATGTTTGTTGTGTTGTCAAACCTCAAAAGCAATGAGCAATCTAAAATGGACTCAAATGTTAAGTCACTGGACCATATAATTAGACGTACAAAGGACAACAGTTCCAAGAATAATTCATTTGCAGGTGGAGTTGGGCAATTGGACTTAACTATTATTATACTGTAAAAAGATTGGTCTTTCAAATCGCCACATAACTGTCTACTTTAAAGTTTAAATGAAATAAATCTTCAAAATAATCTAACACTGACGTTCCTACATAGTAACACCAGTTCATTTATGTTTTATGCTATAAGGAGAAAAAATGCATTAGTGGTATCTTCTTAAATTAGTTGGTAATATTATCTATCATTAAAAATTGTTGCTCAAATTGGTAGTGTAAAATGCATAAAAATATTACACCTGATCTGAACGCGGCGTGCTGAATTATGTTATCTGTTTAATCTAGTTACTTCAGGTGTCTTGGGGCAGACTGATGGAAATGCTCCTGCCATTTTTCAACTAAATTGCACCAGTCAACAACTTTTACATTCACAGTTAAGCCACGATAACAAATCTTTAAGTGTGATATCACAATAAGACAATATTGAAACTATTTAATTCCATTGACATAGTAAGGCTAAACCAGAAGAATCCTAGAAACATTTAAATGTACAATGTAGTTCAAAAATATGAGCTGTAAAACTAAATGAAACCTCGTAGTAGTTAGTTGTTGTTCTTAATTAGTCAAAGAAGTTGACTTTTTATATCTCAAATCTTATCGTTCTACAGTTTCACTCACAAATCCAAAGAAAAGTGCATACAGCTAATATTGAGCTGTAAAAATGAATGTAAATATTTTAGTGTGAATGATAATGACAAGCCTATTCACAATTGCACATGTCACTAAAGTATTTTGCCCAAGGACACAATGCATGTTAATGGATGGATTGAACCACCAACCACTGGGGTAGTCAAAGATCTGTACCCACTGAGCTTTGACATGCATTATTCTGAACTGAACAAATCCCAAGTTTGCACAAATTGGTATTTCTCATTCCCATTTGAAAACGTTACATCATTACGTTCGACTGTGGCGCTATATCCTCTGTAGTCTTGTTATAGTCTTGTTAAAGTCTGCTAGTCTAGTCCTGTCTCCTGTTCTGTCATCCCTGTAACGGCGCGTCGCACAGTTGGGATCTTAAAAGCTTTAAGGTCGTGAACCCTGCGTGCCTGCAGCCTCTTAGCTCCTGCTGCACTTTTCCCCAGCTCCTCACATATGTATGATTTAAGTCTCCTAAAAACTCTGTTCTTTTATAATACATGAACCTCCCATGACATAGTATAAGGACAACACAAAGATTTTATAAACTTTTCCAAAAAAGTAGATTAGAGACGGTATTTATTTATACTCGACCTGAACACAACAGTTTCAAGTCTGTCAAGTCTTGTCTTAGGATACCAAAATGAGACACAGACTGAATCGATATCTTTGAACCGATATCCAGTCAAAATGTTCAATATCAGCGCAAATATCTGTAACTAGTATCTAGGGCTGTAACGATATCCAAGTCTCACGATACAATATTGTCACTGTATGAACGTCATGGTACGATATTTATTGTGATATCGTAGGAAAGCTCACGATATGGTTGGGAGGCTCATGACTAGAGATGTAACAATATCCAAATCTCTCCGTACGATATTTTCAATATACATCACACGGTACAATATTTATTGCGATATTTTGTGGAGGCTAAGCAGCTACAACTGTGAATATTCAACTTTTTCCTCTTAAAATGCCTTGAAAAGATTTAATCCAAAGAAATAAGACTTAAAAGTGCTTAGAACTATTATTTCGTCTTGTAGTCTACACTGAAATGGAGCAAAGGATCATGGTCTATGTAGTTCCCTCTGTCTTTTTTTAGTTATTGCTGCACCATAACTCTTGTAATTCAATATACTGTGATGGTCCACAATATTATTGTGAGAACTTTGATGATAAGATATCACAATATTTCAGTTATTGTTACATCCCTACTAGTATCCTATTGGTGCGTCTGTAAGTAGATTCATCAGCTTTGTGTTCATAGAGATGCTATTGCTTTGCTTGGAATGGTTCACAGTATGGCATTAACCTTATCTCCATGGAGGCAAGCAGATGGTGCTACTAGGCCATAAGTTGCAGGTTAGATATGTGGATCTACAAAAAAATATATAAATATAGACCTGTACAAACATACGTTGAAATATGTGAGATTTCTGTATTATTTTACCAGCCCCATTCTCTAAATTGTTACTGTTGGATGGGTTTGAAATGTGCACTGTGAACTGAATTCTGATTTGCAAACATATATCACAAATTAAGTCACAATTTCATCTTTATATCCTAACATTTTGCAGCTGTTGAAACGTGACGGCATTAGATGCACGGGCACTATATGATGACTCTTATGTCTAGGCGTTGCTGTGCGTTGTTGTGTATTCATGCGTGGTTGTGTGTGTGTGATTGTGCAGCTGTGTGTTGATGTTTCTGTGATGTGACACGAGATGAATTTGATCTTTTTATAGCTCCTCCGTGTGGTGATTCTCCTTCAGTATCAGACAGAAGGAGCTTGAGAGGGGCCTGTACTTATGTTGTTTTCATGAACCGTTTCTCAAGCGCATGTCAGACTAGACTGCAGTTACTATTGATAGGCTACGTGCAGTTCAGCTGTACACTAAGCACTTTTATGGAGCCAAGATGATTTTCCATTATGTCAAAGTAAAAAAAAAATAGATTGATATATTATTTGTCACATTTCAGAAGATACATTTAAATCTTACAGTCACAACAATTTTTTTTCCTGTTGATGGCCCTGAGAGCAAAGTATTATGATCTACTGTTCGATGTCGCTTACTTATAAACTTGGCTTTTCATTTTGCTATGCTGTTAGAGGCCTTACCTGTTTGTCAATGCTCAGTCTTGTCTGGTGCCTCTGGTGCCAGCAGGTTGGGCCCGGTGAGGACTTGGATGGAAGTCCTCTGGGATAATCACAGCAGGGGAGCAGTGGCTCTAGTGCAAGCTCTTGTTCACTTTTATTGCCTAGTCTGAATGTGTATGAAGGTGTAGAGGTGAGTGTTCATGATGGTCGGGGCTGATTGCACTTGACAGCCACGCCTCCATCAGTTTGTCCCAGGGCAGACGTGGCCACAATAAAAGACAAGAGTAAAAATATAAGTCTACAACAACAAAGTCTTTTATTATTTAGTCTATTTTTTATTCTCAAACTGTGCCCACACACACCTGAGACACAACTCAAACTCAAAAAGTCTAACTGCAATTCCACACAGGCTGGTACATGCTATGATTTGTACAATTTAGGACCTGTTTATCTGTATATTTCTCACAGCAACACAATAGCAATTATCACAGTGCCATGCAACAAATCATGGATTTAAATTTTTTGTAAAAATTTGTATACACAATATTCCACCGCTCCCATAAAAGATGTAAATAAAATAAAAAATAACGTTGTCATTGTCCATATTGGATTTGTAAGTATTGTATTGTTAATTTTTTCCTCTAATCTAAACATTTAATATTACTGACAATAAGAAAGTCATGATAGAACATTTTGGTGTTATAGTTCCTCAGGCATATTACACATCTCATCCATTTTCTTCTTCATTTTCTTCTTTCTTCATTTAACTGAAATGACATAATTTAGATTTTAGTCTCATCTTTTAGTTTTTAGGATTATATTGTGACCTGAATAATCACGAATATATGGCACTTAAAGCATTTTTCAAATCTTTAAAAAATCCACTAAGTCAAACTAAAGCCTAACCTACCTGTGTTTTTCTTGTTCAACAGGAGCTCTGCAGAAACCCTGAGTTTATAGTGGACGGAGCGACACGCACAGACATCTGTCAGGGAGCTCTGGGTGAGTCCCGCTGGAAAACAGCCAACTGTCTCTACTACCACTACCACTATTATTACTACTGCTGCTAGTGCATGCCTCAGCTTTACTCTGACACCGACACATTTGGTAGTGCATTACAACACGGTAGGGCTGCACAATCAGGAAATCTGAGCTGGTGAAATGATCAAATCCCAAAGCCTGCAACCACTTAGAAAATAGAAAAGAATAGAAATTAGTCTTGCAAGATTTTTTTTCCCCAAATTGTGCTGTAGTATTAGTCAGGCTGGCTAAATCCTGTTTTAGTCCAGGTTTAGTCTTCATTTTAGACCTGTTTTTAGACCTATTTTTAGACCTGTTTTTAAACTTGTATTAGACCTGGTTTAGTCCTGGTTTACTTCTGGTTTAGTTCTGGTTTAGTGGCACAGCCCGCGCGACTACTGGAGGAGGGACGGTCCATGCAACGTACAGGACGGTGGGCGTGGGGGCAGTCGGGTGGTCCTCACAGTGTATGGGTGGGAGAGTTTGCACTTTTGCAGCCCGGTACTGGTCCCCGGCCTGGGGGTTGGGGACCCTCTACTAGACGGTTCGCAAAACACCCAGAAGTGCGAGTCCAGGCACCAGCCAATCAGCGAAGAGCCGTACATTTTGTGTTGGCAACAATTCCCGAGATCGAGGATTTAAAGCCGGAACAAAGTGAATGTATGTTTAATTTTATCAAGGGGAAAGACGTTATTGTCCTTCTTCCTACGGGATTTGGGAAAACCTTAATATACCAGTTAGCCCAGTTAGCGGTGCATTACATACGTCACAACCAAATAGCAGCGATTGGTTAAATGAAAAAAGTACCCGCCTGCCAAACGAATCCTAATGCTGTGAGGTCAGACAGTTTCCATGAAGTGAGCACAGCAATGTGTAAATACCAATGTAATTTCATGGAAATTATGGTGATTACTCTAACTACTAAAATACAATTTCTATGCAAGTACTATGAATTTGTATAACACTCTCAGATAGAATACATACGAATTACTGTGCAGCATAAAGTACTGGGAAGTACTGTTTGTGTTCATACAGCATAAAAAGGTTCATGGTAAGGATTGTTATTACCATCTTGTTACCATAATGCTCTTATAATGTTAACAGACATTGAATCAGCTTTATATGGCCCTGTGAACAAGCACTTGGACACATTATCATTGACTTTGTATTAAATGCCACTTGAGAGCAGTTTTATTCGTGGAGTAATGTCAGTAGAACAAGGAGGAGTGCTTTGCAGAGATACAGAGCTTCATCCATTATTCACGTATTGTTTCTCTGGCTCTCTTCTGTAAACAAGGCCACTGGAGCGAACACATGAGGCAAGCAATATTGAAAACAGACTTCTCTTTCTTCAAGAGACTGTAACCTAGATTTGTCAAATTAGAGAGATTTCATACTTGAATTTTTTAAAACGGTTTGCTATTCCATGGCAGATTTATCTGAGGAAGGCAGCACATCTCAAACCAGTTGGGGTTGGGTCAACAAAAGAAAGAAAGCGTAGAAAAGATTTTGGACTCCTCCCATGTTTTTAGAGTTTATTCACTTTCACCAGAATATTTGAAGATAGTTTAGCATTTAAACTGCTTGATTCCTCACTGCAGCCATGGTGTTTTGTAATAGTATTTCTTCATACATTTGTAAACTACAGGAAATAAAACAACAAGGCCAGTATTTCCAAAAAGACTGAATAATGCATAACAATAATTCTAGCTAGAGAACTATACAGCTGTAAGTGCAATACTGGCATTGTGTCTTTGAGCATTTGGGCTATTTATTCATCTTAAATCTATATTATTTTAAATACCAATGATGAGACTACAATCAATCAGTAATAGTCTAAAACAGTGTTTCCCAAACTTTTTTGGGTGGGACCCATATATTAAAAGTCACAAATCTTTGTGATCCAAGTCAATAGACATTATTTTTAAATCACAAAATAAAGGTGGATATGACCATTATTGATGATTGAATATTTTATTGTTGACTGAGTGATCATGTCTCTCTGCACAATTAGTATTACTGTATTTTCCAGACTATTCTCTCATCTATTTTCATATATAATGCACACCGGATTATAAGGTGCATTAAGCAAAACAAATGGACAACACTTTTTTAATTTCCTACAAGGAGGACTCAAATATACATTGAGTAATAATGTGTTCAATGCATCTTTGTGCACATTTGTTTACACTTTACAGAAACAAAACTTAAAACCACATGACTAAACTATAAGTGATAAAAAAAAAAAAACAGCTCCCTCCTTGTGCGCTGATGTAGTCAGCTAATGTCGTACTAAAGGACACAACTCAGTGGAATATGTGTGAAAACTGGTTTGAGGTCAGTAAGCACAACTAGGGCTGTCGTAATAACCGCAAAAAATAATCACCACGGTACTAAGAGGCCCAACGCGGTGGATGCTGGGCCACCACGATCACCGCACGTGACCAACGTGACCCAACCCCAAGTCCTGCATGGGTCCATTTTTAGAGACACGCACCTCCCTGGACCCGTTAACATTACACCTGTTACCGGCCTTGCCCGTGATAACCCAGGACTAAGATGCACCCATGTAGACTGTCAGGTGACCACAGGTGAAAGGAGTGCCGCATCCGTGCCATCATCTGATCGCACTTTGTGGACACCTTGCATCTGCGCAACAAGTGCATCATCGGGGAGTTTTCAGCACCGCTGGAAATATTGTAATATTGTAACTCCGGGGGATGGGGGGTGGAGGAGGGGGTACGATATCATCGAGCCGCTATACTGCACCACAGGATAAATTCCCTAACCGCGACAGCCCTAAGCACAACCAAAATTAATACATAAAGTGCACTGGATTATAAGGTGCACTGTTGATTTATGAGAAAATTATTTTAAGTGCGCCTTATAGTTCAAAAAATACGATACTCAAATTTTAAACAAGGAAAAACAGTAATTAGTGTTTCCCGCAGAAAATGTGTTGGGCAGGGTGGTTCTGCCGAAAAAAATGAGGAGTGGGAGCTACGCAGAGATGTATGTATCAGATCTACATGCAGATAGCGACGACAAGACGACCCAAAAAAAATGTTTTGCAATCCACTTGAGGGTTGTGACCCTGTCGTTGGTAAACAATGGTCTAAACATAGATGTATGTTTTTTAAGGTTTAAGCATTATACAAAAGGGAAAAGACATATTTTTAATCAGCTTTTTTTTGCATAGATTTACATTGATATTGTAATGACCTTTCTCCAAAACAACATTCACAATATAGTTTAATGTATTTCTAAACAGTTTTGGAACTTAATCAAACTAGCAGAATCTTGTATATTTGCCACAGTCCCATTGCCAGTCAGTAGTAACCTAAAAATGTCAAGTCGTCTCAACACAGCACTTTGCAACAGCCGAAGCAGCGAGGTGTTTCCCAGTGGTTCTGTTTGGGTGACACAGCCCACCAGCCTCACTTTGAGCTATTTTTAGGTTTTATGGAAGATCAAATAATGAATGTGTTACTGGGCAGAAAATAATGTAGGCTTAGTCAATGTAGTTGTGCGAGTGATCTATAGTCTAAACTACTTTAAGCCATATATCATTACAATGTGGGAACTCCATAGACAGGCATTTGTTATTATCCATGGATTTCAGAATGATTAAAAATTAAGACAGTTGCTATAATAATTAACAACAAAAAAGCCTTTTGAATGAGGAAAAGGTTCTCAAAATGCATAAAACAGAAACCTGTAACCCATGAGTACAAGAGAATCAAAATTACATTGATGTGTGCGAACTATTGAGATACAAGTTCTTTGTTAAAACAGTTTTGTTCCAGTCCAGTTCTTGTCCTGGATACTTACAAGTCCTGGTTTTAGTCATCTTTTAAACAAAGGGGAGTTCACATCTGTATTGGTTTGGTCCTGGTTTGAGGCCAGTTTAGTTCCATAACTTGATCCAGTTCTAGTGCTGGTTCAGTCCTGGTCAAATCCAGCTTTAGTTCTCAGTTTTATTCCCAACTTTTGTGTGGTGTCTTTGTTATTTAAAAAGGTAAATATTGTACTTGAAAACTGTAATTTCATATTTATTAGATGTAACAGTAATGCAGTATCATATAGGTTTATTTTAGATAATATAATACATTTTTATTGGCCAGGTTGTTCTAATAAGAACGTGGTCTTGCACTGGGAAAAGATGTCAAAATCAATCAATATGACCAATGATTATGATCTGGTAGTATCTGATAAAGTCCCTTAAAACTCCACACCGGTCCAAATGTGTCCTGTGATTCTTCAGTATTGATATTCAAATGAGTATATAGTGTTGATTTCTAGTTTTAGTATTGATTATCAGGGTCCCAGTTCCTTGATAACCAAGGAGCAAGACCAAATTCTTTAAATTTTTCAAGAAACTCGTATAATATTCATGTTCTTTTGCCTCACACTTAAATCATCAAGCCTTAAATTAGATCATAATGAACAATGAGCCTTTGAGATTTCCTAGTAACAACATTAGAGAGGTCCTGCGGCCGTGTCCACTGCATTAGTAACCACCACCCCTGCTCTGCCTCTGTGGAGGAAAATGTTGTTCAACCCAAGTTCACTTAGCGCTTTATGAAAAACCAATGGACAAGTTTGAGTTTAATGAGCCAGATTTTCCACTTAGCTTTTAACCACATCCAACTTTTATTATTGCTACATGATTTTGTGCTTGTGCGGAGCTGAGAAAAGTACACAATTTATGTTTGGTTTTGAAGCAACTCTTGTTTAACATTTAGAGTCAAAGGTCAGGTTAGGGCAAAGTTCACATACTTTCACTTTTAAGGTCATAAAGTTGATGTACATATTGACAGAAGTGGACAGAGCTGCTAAAATTAGTAGTATTGTATAGAGTAAGTGTGTATGCATAATCTAAATATTTACTCACCAGTCACCAGTAAATTATATTTGATGGGTAACACTTATTAGGGGACCACATATTCATTCATCAGTTGCAAACTAAGAGGTAATCGGTATGTTATTTAGTGGTTATATTAGGGTTATTTGCTGTGTTAGGAGTAGTGTTTATAAAGCTCTTATTAATGCATACTTGTTTAATGTGATTTTGTGACAGAATAATGTCAAAATTACGCACAAATTGTATTATTTCTGATAGTAATAATACTTGACATGGATGTAGTTGTACTCAAAAGTATATTCAGTCTTCACGTATGTATAGAGCTGTGTTGCAATGAAGTTATCCATAGATGTTACTTTAAAACTGTGTATCGTTTACCAGAAAAGTTTCACACTGTACCTTTAAGCTCCTCTCCCTTGCTGTCTATGTGAATTATGTTTACGATGTCCTTTGTCCTCAGGTGACTGCTGGCTGCTGGCCGCTATCGCCTCTCTCACTTTGAACGATGAGCTGCTGCACAGAGTCGTCCCACACGGTCAGGATTTCAGCAATGGATACGCCGGCATCTTCCATTTCCAGGTCAGAGCACTTCCTGTAACGCAAGGTCACAGTCTATGGACAATGTGACGAATGCCCTTTTCAAATGTTATTAGCCATGACAAGGGGTTAAGTAGAGGTGTAATGATCTAAGGCTCACGATAAGATATTGTCACGGTATGAACCTCACGGTACCATATTTATTGCAATATCATGGGAAAGCTCATGATATGGTGGAGAGGCTCACGATTATTGTTGTAACTATATCCAAATCTCTCTGTATGATATTTTCATGTTATACATCTCACAGGATTATATTTATTGCAATATTTTGTGGAGGCTGCTAAAACTGTTAATATGCTACTTTTTCCTCTTAAAATGCCTTGACAAGACTTAATCCAAAGAACTAAGACTTAAAATGCTATTTCTTTATTTGTATACATTGAAATGGAGCAACGATCATGGTCTATGTAGTTCCCTCTGTTTTTTTTTAGCAATTACTGCTGCACCATAACTCTTAATTTAAGCAAAGAGACTTGTAATTCACTATTTTGTGATGATCCATGATATTATTGTGAGAACTTTGACGATACGATATCACAATATTTCAGTTACTGTTACATCCCTAGGGTTAAGGCTATAAAGTTATGTCAGCTCTGACAGAAATCACATCCAACTGAAAAATCTGGCTTGCTTTTTAGTAGAATAGGTCATGTTAGGTAGTGTTGTCAAAAACTGGCAAAAAAAAAAGCCATTTGTTGTTTTACCAACCAAAATGAAACCAGCTGTTGGCCAGTGGGCGAATGATTTACCCGATTTATTCCTCTTTATGTGAGCAGTTTGTCTCACTCCACTACAGATGTATTGTATGAGCAGCTCTTAAGGTCAAAATATGTAGCATTTTATTGTCCAATAATCAGGAAGTGCACATTAGAATTCTAGTTGTTGTTAGCTTTACCGTTAAAGCAAAACTCTAATCTGGTCTCTGAAGCACTTACCAACTCATCACGTGCATAATATGGATACTTGGAATTCATTAGGCAACAGAGGAACAGCTTTGGACCAGCATTTAAATGAACTAGTCCTGCTTATGTAATACAATTGTTACAGTAAGGAAACCCCGGGGATATTAACAGTACTTATAAAGAAATATCCTATTTTGAAATTGCACTCATAAATAAAATATACGGGGTTGCCTTGCTTCACAGAGACACAGTTGTTATTAAGATTTATAAATCATATCATATTTAATGGACCCTTTGGCGTTTGAGGAAAGCTGTAGAAAACAAAGTACACAACTAATTTTTATATCCGAGTCATCGCTGCAGAAATGATTTGTGTCCTGCAGCAAATGGCCCATTTGTTTATATGTGTCGTGCGTGTCTTTTTATGCAAATGGAAGCAGTAGTAGTAGTAGTCAGAGGTGGGAACTTGTAAGTCGTGACTTGGACTCGAGTCAGATTTGTCACTATTTTTAGGACTTGAGACTTGACTTCATAAAATGGATTAAGACTTGGGACTCAACTTGAACTTCAAGCTGTGACTTGAGAAAACTTGAGAAGCACTTTTAAATCTGAATTCTTTCTATTCTGACCGTAATGATTCACACTAAGATCTTGTCAAGACATTTAAAAACGAAAAATTTACATTTCTACAGCGCTTATATACTGTATAAATACTCATATATAAATATACTAAGGTTTTTAAGCACAATTTATCTTAAAAGTCATATGAATAGCAAAAATCTAAGTTACTTTGGTTTAAAGACTTGAAATGACTCAACTTGGACTTGCCTATATTTGACTTGGGACTTGACTCCAACTTGACGGCAAAGATTTGTGACTTACTTGAGACTTGCAAAACAACGACTTGGTCCCACCTCTGGACTGGTAGTAGTAGTAGTAGTTGTAGTAGTCATGTTGTTGTAGTTGTGCTAGTACTACTACGACTGCTACATCAGCTGAACTTGTTTCTGTTTCTATCTGTTCATTTGCATGTATCATGTGTTGTTTTTATGCAAATGGGTTGAATACAAAGTTTAATGTGTGCAAAAGAGAAAGAGGAGAAGGAGGAGAGGAATGTATGAAACAGCCTGCAGTGCTAAGTTCACCCCTGGGATGAGCCGTGGTCCCTCACACACATACACACACACACACACACAACACACACATGCAGACAGACCCACAGAAAGAGACCAATCCACCCCAGGCAAATATTCAACAACACATTTCCTGATTGTACTTATGCATAACTTGGTCTCAGATCTTCCAACGTGCGAGCAACGTAGAAAAAACATCAAGCAAATGAATATTGATACAGTACATGCTCTGGACTTAATTAAATATGATAAGTATTGCAGTACATTTACAGTATGCATGCCTAAAAACAAAGGCTTCATATTTAAATTATATTCCAAAACTTAATTGTGCCCATTACAATTTAACTGATTCTCCTGTGCCTTCCCAAGATGTTAAAATCCATAGAGAACATAGTTTCTCAGGCTTTAGTTTGGCCTCCTTACGACATCTTAAACTCATCTCCTCTACCACAGCTGCACAGAAAATCACATTTGCAGATGAGTCACGCGCACTGGAGGGGATTATGAGCTCCGCTATGATACAAACTGGGAATCCCTAAAACAATTGGGGGAAAACAAGAGGAGGCAAGTCGAGGCAATGAAGAAAACGACGACGCAGCTAAATAGGCCAAATCAGACTGAACCCGGGCTATAGATAGAACACATGCAGGGGGTCTCTCAAGCAAATGACAATATTATTCACAGTCATTTTAGCAGCCAGTGAATTCAGTGTGCTACTATTGATTTCCATAATTATGTAAGCGGCCGCGGTGCGACTCTGCAAGTAAAACATGTCATTTTCAACACAGACTTAAGAAGAGAAGAGAGACAGAGAACTGCAGACTTGTTCTATTTTAATTTGTGTGGTTTTAGGGCTGGGTATCATTAAAAAGATGCCAATACGATACATACCTCGATACAGTGCACTTTCGGTTCAATATGATATATTTCAAATCGATTCGATACAGCTCAGTAAAAAAGACTAAATCATGGCTGTGATACTAAAAGTCTTTGTTAAACCACTTCTTGTGCAAAGTTCTTATGAAACACAAACATTTTAATCATCAAAACAGTGAAAATGTCAAATGTGTTGCGTTAAAGAGTTTCCTTCCTCTGAACAAGCAACAAAACTGTAACGCTGTAACAAAATAATTGACTAAAATATACCAAAAAATACACTCTGCGATATATCAATACAGCAGCCCACGATATCGATACTGTACCATCACATTAAATTATACGATATAGCGATATTTCAATATTTTTGTACAACCTAATGTATAGTATTAGCATTAGTAATAATAGTAGAAATGATTTAGGGATACTGGTATCGGGTATTGATGTTGTAGCAGTAGCAGTAGCAGTAGCAGTAGCAGTAGCAGTAGCAGTAGTAGTAGTAGCAGTAGTAGTCACAGTAGCAGTATTTAAAAGACAGTAGTGAAGACAGTCTCCTTGATAATCTGTATTGGATTTGTAGTTTCCTGACTCTGCACCAGTCTAGCCTTGCTGCATTGTTAGTCTGTGGGTAATTGATGACTGTGCTCTCCTCCCTCTTCCTCCCTTTCCTCTCTCTCTTTCCTCTTCTCTCCTCTCTCTCCTCCCTCTTCTCTTTCTCCTCCCTTTCCTCTCTCTCTTCCCTCTCTCTTCTCTCTCTCTCTCTCTCTCCTCCCTCTTCTCTTTCTCCTCCCTTTCCTCTCTCTCTTCCCTCTTCTCTCTTCTCTCTTTCCTCCCTCTTCTCTTTCTCCTCCCTTTCTTCTCTCTCCTCTCTCCTCTCTCTTCTCTCTCTCCTATCTCCTCTTTCTTCTCCTCTCTCTTCTCTTTCTTCTCCCGCCCCCCTCCTCTCTCTCCTCCATTTCCTCTCTCCTCCCTTTCCCCCTTTCCTCTCTCCTCCCTCTCCTTCCTTTCCCCCTTTCCTCTCTCCTTCCTCCCTTTCCTCTCTCCTTCCTCTCCTCCCTTTCCTCCCTCTCCTCTCTCTCCTCTCTCTTCTCTCTTTCCTCTCTCTCCTCCCTCTCCTGCCAGAGGCTCTCCCTGCTCCCCCTCTTTTCTCTCCCGTCACCATTTGGCACGCTCTCGCTCCACTGGGCACACGGTTCATTCTGCTAAAAGATCAGCAGACCTGCTCCAGAATGTCAAGTATAGGAAGTGAGCATTGCACGATATGATAGTCAGCAAGGCATTATGGGTATTATGAGTACTAATGATATGTGTCATCTAATTTAACTTCATACTTCATCATGAGATCATAAATGGATTGGGCTTGTAAAAAAATTGATAGTCAGATTATAATCAATACTAAAACTAGTATCAAAGCCAAATGCTGAGTCAAAGGTCCTGTACCCGATTTAGTTTTCCATGTATTTGAGCATCGCCGTGATGGCAACACTTTGATCTCTGAGAGTTATGAGAAGTGCTTATAAACACACTGGACTGAATAATTAGGATGCCCTAGATTCATAAGTGAGGAATAAGTCACAGCCAATGCAAACTTTTAAAATTAGTCCTATTTTTAAGACAGTAAAAATCTGGTACCCTTCCTTAAAGTATCAGTATTGTAAATACAACTTAATTGAATGCAGCTGATTTCCCTAGTTTGGAAAATTACTATCAATTGCAAAAAAAAGTGTACTTTAACTATCATTGTGGTACTTTTTTACCAAATATTCTGCAGATTGGTAGCCTGATTCATCAGCTGGTTTCACTTTGTGGAAGCCATCTGACCTCACAGCACTAGGAATTCGTTCACTCGATGGGAGGCGGGTACATTTTTAATTTAACCAACCAATCACTGCTATTTGGTCGTGATGTATGTAATGCTCCAAATCCTGTAGGAAGAAGGGCAATAACGCCTTTCCGCTTGATAAAATTCACCAGACATTCTCTTTGTTCCGGGCTTTAAATCCTGGATCAGGGGAGTCGTTGCCAACACAGAATGTCTGTCTTCGTCTACATCCATCTCGAGCACTTTGTTTACTGTTGTGCTGTTCCACAAAAGGGACCCAGACAGGTGCTTGAGTTTGATGTCATGGCTTTACAGCTCTTCACCGATTGGCTGGCGCACGGTCTACAAATTCTGGGGTTCTTGCAAACCGTCTACTGTATTCCGATTCCTGACCTAGTTGTTGGAGAGAAATGAAATTGAGTGGACGCTTGTGTTAAGATTGTTGAATTTGTAAAATAATATAACAAATTATTTTTGGTGTAGCTGGCTGCTTGAATTTACTTTGTTTCTTGTAAATAAACCCATTGCTGCACAAAAGCTGTTTCAAAAACAGTTTCATGTCGTAAATAAGAATTAGCAGAATCCCAGACAAAAGTAATGTCAAAATGCGTTCTTTAATATAGCGGGACACATCTGGCCTTTAATATTATGTAACAATATGATGCAGTAATCAAAGCGAGACTGATAAGAGGTCGGTTTAGACACTTAGCTAACAAACCTCATATTCTATCACTAAGTCCTGGTGAGACATTATAGACATCTTGATAAGGCTTTACATCAGGTGATCTGTAGATAAAATACTGTTTGCATTTTACTAAAGGTAAAGGCACAGGGTGGTGATAGAGCAGTCAAATCTCCAGGTAATGTTTGTTGTAAAGACTGGGTGGAGCTGAGAAACACATGAGTCACTGGGGTTGACAAGTCCCTATCTGAAATACAGGTCACTGTGTGTAACTATGGTATACTATATGTTAAGCGGCCTGCAGAAATGAATGTTTATAATGTAACTTACACTAAAATTCAAAAGTTTGGACAGACTCTTTCATTTATGGTTCTTTATTTCAATGAGTATTTAAATAGTAGATTCTCACTGGATTGCAATTATTTAATGATTTTTTTTTCTTTGCTACATAAATCCATACATTATGCTTCATATATTCAATGTATTTTGTATGTAAATATAAGTTGTAAAGTACTACAGTAGCAGTAATGGTAGTGGTAGTTGGGTTAGGTTGCTTTATTTGTACCTGTAGATACATTTATAGTATTTGTAGTTGTAGTTGTTGCAGTAATAGTTACTTAATTAATTAATCATTGCATTTATATAGTGCCTTTTAAGATACCCAGTTAGTAGTTGTTGTAAGTAAGTTGTAAATAGTAGTAGTTGTAGTAGTAACTGTTGTAGTAGTAGTTGTTGTAGTTGTAGTAGTAGTTGTTGTAGTTGTAGTAGTAGTTGTTGTAATAGTAGTTGTTGTTGTTCTGTGTAATAGTTGTTGTAGCAGCAGTTGTAGTAGTAATAGTAGTAGTTGTTGTAGTAGTTGTTGTATTTGTTGTAGTACTTGTAGCAGTTGTAGTTGTTGTTGTGTGTAGTAGTTGTATATAGTAGAAGATGTTGCAGTAGTTGTAGTTGTAGTAGTAGTACTAGTTGTAGTAGTTATAGTTGTAGTAGGATTAATTCACTCCTGGTGGTTTCTTCATAAAGATCATTTGTGTAAATATTTAGTCCATGAGCAGTAGTTACAATGGAATGTCACATTCTGTTTTGCTGGTCTTGATCGCCCTCCAGTGGCCAAGAGGGGAATGGACAAAATAAGGGCGTATTGTGAATTTCGAGGAACTCACACCTGCAGCCTTTTCTACTGAATGTGCTTTGGTTTTATTTGCGTTCATTTGTTTGAAAGCCCTGGAGCTCATATTAGACCTGAGGCGAGACACAGTTCTTACTATGATTAGACCTGCTATTCTCTGGTTTGGTTTATGCATTCTCTATTGCAAAGATATAATATTTCTGTAGTCTTGTAGTCTTTTAGTCAATTAATCTGTCAGTGGTGTTTTAGTAGTTGACCAAAATTTGTATTTCGAGTAATTATTTTATTTATTTTACAGTTATATGCACAAAGGCAGACCAGCACAAATGAATTGGTATGAACTTGGGAGTGAATCATGAGTTTAATTTGCCATTTTTTTGGTATACCACTACAATTTCTCTCTAAGTAATTATTTTTGGGTGAACTCCTGTGCAGTATTTGAGTGCAGTTTAGGTTAGATACATGGTCAGATCATAGACTCTGAAAAGTTTTAAGAATTTTGCCAATTTTAATCAATTAATCGATCGGCAGGACATGTCTTTAGTCGTCCCCAACCGTATATATCTAAGCAATACTTTAATACTTTTGCTCTTGTAACTTTTCTGTTGGACTGTCAGGCTTTACCCCATACAGATGTTATTGTTTTCGCTGAAATGTATGAAAAACTGGCATTCTTACTTTGAACAGGGTTGCCTCTCCACAGATTTGACCTGTAATTTGGGATGGAAGAGTCAGTATTTCATATATGTTTTCAAGTCCTCATATATCATTACTTTGAAAGGTGCAGTTAAAAAAAAGGTGATTATCAGATATGCAAATAAAATGCGTCAACTTCTGTATATTTGCTTATGATAAAGTACAGTCATTTAAATCAATCCATATTGAACACTATATAATATGTATCGCAATGATATGACTATGGGCGTGTTATGAGGGATGTAACGATATCCAAATCTCTCGGTATGATATTATCACGATATGCATCTCACGGTACGATATTTATTGTAGTATTTTGGAGTGGCAAATCTAATTCCAGATAGGACACTTTTGCTTTTAAAATTCCTTGACAAGATTTTGGTGTGACCCATTACTGTCAGAATCTCAAGAATGCAAGTAAAAAACACATTTCTTCATGTTGTCTGTGCTGAAATGAATCATGAGACATGTAGTTCTCCATGTTTATTAGCTGTTCCTAGTAAAGAACACCGCATTTAAGCAAAAGAACTTATAATATGATATATTGTGACAGCTCTCAACATTATTGTGAGACTTCTGACAATACGATATCATGATATTTTGGTTATTGTTACATCCCTAGTTATGATGTAATATCATTTATTACTATTAATTTATTACTATAACATAACATTGTTTATGTATTGGCTCTAATAGGCCATTATAAAAATATATTCATCTGCTTTATATAGATATAAATGGGATAATTAAATGAAATGTGAGTACAGAAAAAGAGTGCTGGTGGTTGAGTTAAAGGCACACCCTGTAACTTTTAGATCATCTACAGTATTATTGAAGTTGCATAGTATGGCTTTAAACATCCATCTTTACAGAAACCGTTAAATGACACCACGAGGCCAAGATGAGTCCGCACAAATTGCTTCCAAGTTTCTTCCAAGTTGCTTTTATTTTGCCATAAAAACACCCCACATTGTTAGATAAGTTTAAGATAAGTTTAATGCCATAACGCTGGCATGTCCAAACTATGGCCCGTGGGCCACATGCAGCCCTCAGACAAATTTTTCTTGACCCTCAAGCTTGCAGGTGAATTGGCCCAAATTACATGGCATCAATTAGAAATAAACCTTTTACTGCAAGCTCTTTGAACATCTACTTTGATAAGGCTAATATTTAATATTTTGTGTGTGGTTTTAAGGATCTTAGCATGAATAAAGACCGATGGCTCATTCTAAAGTGTTAAACATGCACACGTTTCAATTATTCACTGTATTGGACATCAGTCTATGGCTCTCGATTAGCCCTCTGCTACATCTTTGTTTAGACATGTGGCCCTTGATGAAAAAAGTTTGGACACCCCTGCCACACTGTGAACATTACAGGCACAACAATAAAATTTTTACATACACATTGACCTGCTTTCTATGTCTCACCAATGCTGTTCTTTTAATCTGTATGTTCTGTTGTTTTTGGTTCCAGTTCTGGCAGTTCGGCGAGTGGGTGGACGTGGTGATCGATGACCGTCTCCCTGTGAAAGACGGAAAGCTGTTGTTCGTGCACTCGGCTGAAGGCACTGAGTTCTGGAGCGCTCTGCTGGAGAAGGGCTATGCAAAGTGAGTCATTAGAATGGAACTACATTATGTATAACTGCATAAGTATGTGCAGTTATACTTAATGTATTCTGTAAATAGCAATAAAGTCACCTAGAGTAGGACTAACGTATTGTGATTTTAGATTTGCGTTTAAAAGGAGCATAAACGTTTGAGATAAGACTAAAATATGAACTGATAAACTAACTTAGGAATCACATGTGTATCAAAAACATGTTTGTAGAGGTTTCACAACAGGTAAGACGGGATACTTAGTTTACAGAGGAGACCTATTATCTAAACACATGCAGCCTTTGTGACGAGAAGAGACTGTGTGGAGCTGACAGATTGAATAGCTCATAATCTGTTGTTGGTCAATAATTTTGGATTAACTGCTCTGCTTTTACAAATAAAGTCTGGAAGTAATGGATTTATTATAGAGTATTCACTTATATCCCCCAGGCTAAACAGAATATGCTTTAAATCTTGAAGACTTGTCACTATACTTGTTTCTATAAATAGCTTAGGGCTCAGTTGTATTTGAAGAGCTGTTAAAGTGATGAATTATTAGTGGAAATATTTGCCAAGTGCAGCACAGCACTGAGAAAGAGGAGTGGTGTTTGACAAGGTAAAGGTGAGATTTATGTGCGTCTGCTCTCAGGCTCAGGCTGTGCAGACTTTGGTCATATATGGGAACAGAAAAGGAACACAGAGCTGGACTCCACCGCCCAAATGTAAAGATCATAAATATTGTCCATGTCTAATATGGACTCCGCATTCAGTGCTACTGTTTAGTGCTACTATTATTACTGCTAGTACTGCTATTTCTCCTTCTGCTACAATTACTGATGCTGCTACTACTACTACTACCACCACTGCTACTACTACCATTACTACTACTACTACTACCACACTAGTAGTAATAGTAGTACAGCTGCTGCTACTACTACTACTACTACTACTCCAGCTACTAGTACTAGTACTACTACTACTACTACTAGTACTACTACTAGTACTACTACTAGTACTAGTACTACTACTACTGCTACTGCTACTACTACTGCTACTACTACTACTGCTACTACTACTACTGCTAATGCTACTGTTACTACTACTACTACTACTACTACTACTACTACTACTACTACTACTACTACTACTACTACTACTACTACTACTACTACTACTACTACCACACTAGTAGTAATAGTAGTACAGCTGCTGCTACTACTACTACTACTACTACTACTACTACTCCAGCTACTAGTACTAGTACTACTACTACTACTACTACTACTACTACTACTACTACTACTACTACTACTACTACTGCTACTACTACTACTACTACTACTACTGCTACTACTACTACTGCTACTACTACTGCTACTGTTACTGCTGCTACTACTACTGCTACTACCTCTACTGCTACTACTACTACTACTACTACTACTACTACTACTAAAACATGTATGAAATTGGTGTTTTTGTTGTATCTAACCAAACAAATCATTTGTAGAGTTTGGGTTCTCACTCTGTATTTTTCACTGTAAAATAAATGCCCTTAATATTCATGGTTTTGATTAATGGAAAATCCTGAAGATTACTTGCAACTGAATGGACCACTGAAATTATTTATTATTTTGCAAACAACCAAACATCTTGTCTCATCATCTCACTCTGTGGTTTAGATCTGTATAAACATGTTCTGAAATGCATGTGATGTATTAGTTTAGCAGGTCACATTTCAGTCTTCTCTCAAATGTTAAAGCTTTTTGACATGTTAAAAATGTGCACATGAATTGCAAATCTAAACGTAATCACAATATTTGTTAACCCTATCTCCTCTTACACTTTCACATCTTGATCTTTGTCTCAGGTTGAATGGATGTTACGAGGCTCTCTCCGGGGGCAGTACTTCAGAGGGGTTTGAGGATTTCACTGGAGGAGTGACTGAGATGTACGAGCTCAACAAACCTCCCTCTGACCTGTACAGCATCATCAGCCGCGCCGTGGAGAGGGGCTCCCTGCTCGGCTGCTCCATCGATGTCAGTAACACACTACTTGCTCTTTATACACAATTTTTCATTTAATGTGACTCATTAAATCCATGAGTTTGTTTGGAGCATTTCCTGATGTGTTTTCCTTGAATCGGCCAGTAGATCAGACCAATGACATTGCAGTGTTTGATTAATTTGATCTATTTAGGTTTGAAAGGGGGAAGTGCAGTGTGTGAAAGATGTCCAGTTACAATTTACCATTTACCTTTTAGTAGAAATATGGGATATTTGTTTTTCAGAAAAGAGGAGAGGAAAGTGCTTTGTTTATTTATTAATGTGGAAGATGTGTGTTCTTTCATTCCAACTGGATTTGATTTCTCCTCTGCCCCTCCTCTGTTGTAAAACTTCACCCTGTCAGCTCCAACTATCATTATGAACACGTGTCTGCCTTTTTCTGATAACTTTCAGATCACAGATTGATCATGTGTAGAACTCGACTATCAATCAGTTTTCTGACAGGGTAAGATTAACAGTCTATTCCAGGGGTACTCAATTACAAACTCAAAAGGTCCACTTACCAAATTTACAGTATTTCCAGGGTCCGAAAAAGTCACGGTGTTTTTCCAAACTTAGAACTTCTAACAAAAAATGTTGTAAATCCACATGGAACATTTGAACTATACTCAAAGTACTAAATACACTACTCATACTTTTTAACGCTGAAAGCATAGAAATAAGTATTGCATTTATAATGATTATTATTTTACTAAAAGCCTGTTGAAGTTCACCAGTAGAGGGCAGTGACTCCTGAGATTTGCCTCTGTTTACAAACGGGAGTTGACATTATCTTGGGTCACTTGAACCAAACAAGGCCTTTCTTGTTGTGGGAGATTTTGTGGAGCCTCTGAGCTGCACTGAGCTGCTCAAACTGTGGAGAAATGTGTAAATATAGAGATTAGCAGAAGCACGCTGTGACCAATTTGACCACGGGAAGAATTACATAACACTGTATGCTTTAAATGGAGCAAATGGAAGCGTCTAGTATGTACTTATTCTTTTTCTCAGCATCTGGAAGTAGTCTTCATACAAATCCATGCATTTCCAGTTAACATCTTAATGATGATCAAATTATTCACACTAATTCACCACTTCAGGAAGTCCTTGATTATCCAAGAACTGATAAATGATTAATATTTTATGGAATTCAATAAAATATAATAAAATATGAATTTATGGATTCATATTTAAGATAATAATAATTATTCTTATAAGATAAGATGGTAGATGACAGTGTAATCTGTATGTTTTGTTCTTTATTTTTTTTGTATTTCATTTGTATTTAGAGCTCAAGTGTTCTGTAATAATACATTATTACTTCAAGCGGGCTTGCCTCTCCACAGATCTCTTCTGCAGTGTGGCTTGGATGGCGTCACCTGCTTGTTTCAATAGAAATCCATATGTTTATTGAGACAGAGTGAAACATTTTGAGCATAACAATAACATCTCGACAGAGAAATGCAAATAGTTGATCCTCCACACAAAAGTTATATACTGCAGCTTTAAATGAGTTTCTAGTCTTTACTGCAGTCAGATATTCACTCTGTTTGTCTCCTGTTTTAGATCACCAACACCAGAGACATGGAGGCCGTCACATTTAAGAAGCTGGTGAAGGGCCACGCCTACTCTGTGACCGGAGTGGACGAGGTAAGGCATACTGTGCACCAGTGTTGTCACGATACTAAAGTTTCAAACCTGATCTTGATACTAAGGAATAAATCCGATACTCAATACCAATTCCGATGCCAAGATAATAAAAGGCGCTCTTTATTTAGACAATAGAATGTCATTTTCAACATTAAATCGTAGGACTTTCTTTTGTATTACCATGTTGGCCTTAAATATTGCAAAAAGAACCAAAATGAAACTTGTATTGCAGTCTTTCGTACAATGGTTTAAATCAGGGGTCTCAAACTCAAATTACCTGGGGGCCACATTAGATAAAGTCTGAGTGAGGCTGGGCCGCACCGAGTATTCGATAAATAGCGGTTGCACGGGAAAAAAGGAGAGAGAAAGAACAACACGCAACACACACTTTCTTAATCTTTAATAACAGTTCAGAACATGAAAATGTATTCAGAACGTAAGTTTAAACTAATACGTCTACTCTTCTTCTTTTGCCTACTCCTTGCTGGTTGAAACCTGGCTACGCTTCATCTTGTACAGCTGAGAGATATTTGGCTTGCAGGAGGAAGCAGATCCTCAGGATAGATTGAAGATGCTCATCAGTGAGCCTTGACCTGTATTAGGTGCTTTCACACCGACAGTATTTGGTGCGCACCAAACGATCCATTCGAACCAGAAGTGGTTAGCTCGGTTCGTTTGCGTTGGTGTGAAAGCGTCAATCGGACTCTGACCCGGACCAACTCAAGTGGGCCGAGACCTCAAAAAAGAGGTGGTCTTGGTTCGCTTGAATCCGCACCAAATGACCAACTTTGGTGCGGTTCTTCAGGTGTGAACGCGAACCCGGGTCCAAACCACAGACAGCAGGTCCAAACGAACTATTCTAGATGCATCATGGGAGAAACGCGTCTCCTGCCTGTAATGACGCTGTACGACTCCAGCGCAACAAATTGTTGTCCAGACGCAGCCGCGATTCATTTTCGAAATATTTTACCAACAATGGCCAATACAGAGAATGTAACACACGAAGATCAGAGCAAGTACGTGTGAACATGTGGCTCCAGAGTGAGTCAAAAATGGGGGTGTGTACTTCTGTTCAGGACCTGCACAGAGGTCCCGGTGTTCCCCGTGATCATGTAGGAACCAGCATTTTAGGCTTTAATTAACCAAATAATTTTATGGCAATAGGCAATCGCCCATTCAATTGATTCACTTTTAATTAAAAAATGTCCTGCTTTTAGCCTAGTGTGAGAAATACAGTCGGACTAGATCCAAACCGGAGTCCCGAACCAGCAGGAGCAGCTCCGGTTCTGTCCGGGCTCAGATGACGTGGAGCGGGGAGTGAAAAGCGCTTTTCCCGGGAAGAACCAAATGCGGACACCTACTAAACTGGATTCACGTTCTGTCCGGACGCTTTGCACCACCTCGGAACCAGCCGCGGTTCTTGAGCGCGGAGGACAGGAGCAGCACAGACCTGTAGGTATAGTCCACAGCGCATTCTCACTTTCCCCGCACGGAACACGGAACCAGCGCGCAGACGGCGGAACGTACCCGCTCAGACCCAGTCATTGCGCACTGGTCTTGCTCGCCACCGTCTGGAACCAGCACATGGAGGACAGGAGCCTCCGGACCATCTGACCAACGCGCTTGTAGGACAACAGAAGACCAAGGACCAGACTCCAGCGCTGTCCTGAGGAGCTGCGCGCTACGGAGAGCGCTGTTGGCTGCTGCTGTTACCCGAACTCTGGGCTGATGCGGTGAGTTTGTAGAAAGTTCTACGTTGCTGTTTTATGAGTTCATGGTGATAAGATGAGGACGCCTGCGGTATTAACAGGGAACATCAGTATTGGTTACTGGAGATATCGCTGTTCTACCGGGATACAGAGGCTCGTTAATCGGACCAGTTTTGGTTCGTTTGCCGGTGTGAAAGCGGACCACACTGGAGTGTATCTGCTTCTCGTATGTCAAACATGGATGGAAGACTCTTATTTTTGCCTCGTACTTTTTGCTAACATGTCGCCAAGCCTCTGGAATAGATCACTGCAGTTTTGTGGTGCTTGCATATTGATGGGACAGCTGTGTTTGCCGCTGAGTGCGCGTGGATTTCGGCGACGCACAGGTGGAGCTTGGTCATCGGGTTGCCAGCAAGTTATGCACCGAGTATTGAGCAGGTAAACAGACTGTCAGTGTCTTTTTATTTCTTATTAGCCCCTCCAATAATGGTCCCGTACTTATGAACAGGGGGATTCTGTCAGCGCCTCCTCTGCGCTCTGATGCTGTGGTTGTGGGAGCGTAAAGTGAAGTGCGCACACGTGTACCACCATGTGTGGTTTGTTTTGGTTCTTCGGTGACGCCGTATGTGCGCGTGTAATTGTATTAACAGATCCACTTAGACTCGTTGCTTCACAACTGCTGTAAATTGAGTTTTGGGATGTAAACTGCGTTAATAATCTGTTGTGAATCTGCATGGGCACCGATTGCAGCTTCATCTGTCAGTGCGGCCCGCGGTAGGGGGGTGGGATTGTGCGTACATCTACCGCGGGCCGCACTGACATTATTCTTTGGAATCAAGTGGAGGGCTGCAAAAAATCCTTCCGCGGGCCGCAGTTGGCCCCCGGGCCGCGAGTCTGAGACCCCTGGTTTAAAGTGAGATCTGCTCTGTTGTGGATGATGTACAATCCTTTCACATTTGTATGATAATTAAACCTCAAATAATACTTTAAATACGCATTACTGCACATTTCTGTTGGCTTGTCAAAAATTGCAATCTGTATACTTTAAAAAATATGACGTTTTTTTCCCGATATAGCTCAGCCCCAGCTCTTACTTAACTCTAGAATTTTTCCCGACCTCTCTAAATGTTTTACTCCGGCCATGTGTATGTTCAGTGTGTTCTCCAAACACACTGTAGTCAAAACAGTCGCCCTGACCCAGTTTATGTAGCAGCTCTCTGCTCTGCTCATTTCACTGTCACATGTTGAATTCACATAAGCTGAGGTTGAAGTATTATCATGCTTTTACTTCATTCTCTTAGCTCACATGACTTAAAGAATATAAGCTAATTATACAGGCACACTTTGACAATACAGGGCAAGACGACATGTATACAATATTATAATTGGTAAATATTAAAAGAAACATTTACTTTATGAACACTTCATAATCCTTCATTCACCTTCATTTGTGAATTTCAATCTATGACCTTGCCTGTATTTTGTGACCACTGTTATTCAATCTGACTTCTTGATTTGAACCAATTTTACTTGTAAATTTCATCTGTAGTAGGAAAAGTGTTTTGTTGTTAATTCATTTGAATTGTACAATAATTTTTTATCGCACTTTGCTGACTTTACTTTTCAAACTGTTTTAGTTTAAAATGTCAGTCAGTATAATGTATACTTCTCAGTGATGGCAATAGATTGTAGTCAGACATATTTGGGACTAATTGAAATACTCATTATTTGAAACAATAAATGAACATTAAATTACCTATAGAGGAAGTTTACTATAGACCTCCATTTACCATTTATTAGTAATGTTTCAAAAGCATCATTAAACAACGGGTTTTGTGCAGCTTTTATGAAATTTTTGTGAATTTATTGCAAAGTAATGATAATTCAGTTTGGGGGAAATAAGAAAAAGAAATACCTGGGAAATAGTTTTCAGCTAATGCCACTGTACTAAATATATGTTCTTCTGTGTGTAGGTGGTGTACAGAGGAAACATGACTAAACTGGTTCGCATCAGAAACCCCTGGGGTGAAGTGGAGTGGACCGGAGCCTGGAGTGACAAGTGAGGCCTAAACTACTCTTCACAAATCAATATAACCGCTTAACCCACTCCCTCAGAAAATAGTACAAAAATCATTTTAATAGATCCAGTTAACCTAATATCTAATTTTCGTGATCTTTGAACTCCGAAAATTGTCCAACCACACTGACCTTTGAAATGTTTTTACCAAGTTTTGAAGATTTGCTAAATGTCTGTTTCATTCATATAAAAAATTGTATCTCTCAAATGGTTGCAAAAGGAGCTGAAATGGAAGCAACAAGTAATTCCAACAATATTTTTTTCACATTTGTCTGATATTTAAACTAATATATTTAAAGACACAAGTGAGATCTCAACATTTTTTACCATTCTTGGAAATGATATTCTACACCCACATTTTAGCCTGTCCCTGAAGGCAAACAGCAGTATGTGTTTGGTTTGACAGTTCAGGGCAGTTTGTGTTAGAGGAGTGTTATGTGTTAGAGGAGGTTATGTAAGTGTTATGTCACTGTGCCTTTAAGATGTTCACACTTTGGAACTGTCATAAAAGCCTCTCTGTAAAATGTGTCAGTAAAGTACAATAGAACAAGAAAAGTTGTGACAATGAGGGTCTAACAATACTGCTAATGATGGAGGGTATTTACACAAATGTGCGTACTAGATTAATATTATTTAGAAGGATATTCCCTGTAACATCACATTTGCAAGAGAAAAAAATATTTTGTTTTGTTTACTTGACAGTTGGGCTGATTCTTGTTCATGTGCACCGCTCACTATTCCCCTAAACACCATGACCCATGTGTGACCCACGCTCTTTTACTTCAGTCTAACTAGAGGCAGGGTGAAAAAGTGCAAGTTTAGTCCTGCAACAGGTCTGCACTGTTGATAATTGAAAACTTGTGCTGACCTAAATATGATTGAAAACATTATTTGATATTTGAGTCCATAAACTGAACATAAAAAGTTGAAATTTCAAACCTGTTTTGTTTCTGTTTAGTTCAAGAGAGTGGGACAATGTGGATCGCTCTGTCAGGAGTCGTCTACAAAACCGCAGTGAAGATGGAGAATTTTGGTGAGTTTAAACAACTACATAAGCCACTGTACCCAAAAACCTGTTTGTATAGTTAAACACTTTGGCTCAACATTATAAAACTATTTTTGTAACAATTTGGTGATTTAGGTTGTAGAGTGATTTTTTTTTTTCCAAAAACTTTTGACTTCTGTCTTTCCTCACACTTAAAGCATTTGCTTATTATGAAGTTGACCTGGAACTTGCGTCACTGTGGCCTAGCAACCTATGAATATGTATATTAATACTGTGAGTGCTACCACTTCTACAACCGAGGTGTTGTTTGTTTCAGGATGTCTTTCAGTGACTTCTTGCGTGAGTTCAGTCGTCTGGAGATCTGTAACCTGACTGCAGACGCACTTCAGAACACCCAGATCAAGAAGTGGAGCTCAAATCTGTTCCAGGGCGAGTGGAGGAGGGGCAGCACGGCCGGGGGCTGCAGGAACTACCCCGGTATGTGGATCGGATTTAGACTTGGTTTAGTTCTGTATAGGCCTGTATAGGTTCTGTTCTGACTTATTACATGTAACTTGATTCAGCCCTGGTTTAGTCTTGGCTTGTTCCATGTTTCATCCTGGTTTAATCCTGGGAAGAATCTATCTGGAGTGAATTCTTGGGACATCTTTATATGAGCTGAAAAGCCTCACCCAGCTGACAATTACATTAAGATTTTCGAGATCCCTGAGTAATTTTCAGTCAATGAAACTTCTCTCCTTTCTCTCAGCTCATCTCTGACATTTTAAAACATTACAAAAAGTAGAAGAGGGTTTGTATTGATTTATTGCAGGAATGTGAACCAGTGACTCCTATTTAAACACTGACTCATACAACAATGACCTTTTTAAGATAAACCGTCATCATGACCTGAAGTGCTCACCAGGACCATACTGTGTCTGCAGACAAAACCAATGGACAAACTGTATAAGGGCAAAGACCCAAAAGCAATAAAATTAGTTACTAGAATTTTTTTCACTTTTTAACTATGCAGCTACAATCTGTTCCACTACAAAAATCAAGGCACAAAGTTCAGTGTCTTTCAAAAATGATATCAAAATTGTGCTAAAATGGTAAATTCCTTATCTGAATTTTGCATAACAGAACAACAATTTCTGTGTATCCCGTGGATGATATATTGCCTCTCTAATAAAAACAGACATATATGATTGCATTAGCATCAACAGATGTAATATTTTATTTTTAAATGTTAATTTTGATGACAATGATGCAAATAAAAATAAATAAATAAACAATATTTTATTAAAAAGCAAAGGACAAACAAAAGCCTTTAAAAAAAAGCTTTGGAGATAAAGATCACACCTAAATGTATCACTTTTTGTTTCATTTTATTTAGCGCTACACTAACTACAATAATATGAATTGACCTGATCACTACTATTTTGCATCGACTGCATAGCAAGGACACCTCCAGTTCATTGTTGACATTTCTCTGTGGTCAGCTCTGACGTCATCCAAACATTACAGAATTTGTCCTTCTTTAACCTTATCAATTTCGCTATGCTCTTCTCATTTTATCTCGGCCAGTTTGTCTCTAAGTTGTCCTTCTTAGCTCCTATTTAAATGTCCTTGTGTGGAAACAGAGTCAGGCTTGAACAGCCAATACTAACGTGCAGTGTTGAATATTCAAATTCACTGGGTCCTAGACTGATGTCGGTAAATAAACTTCTCCTGCCTCAGACATCCAGAGTCTCTGCCTCTCTGAACCACTCTAGGACTCGTAAGGACAACACTTATTTCCCTTAACAACCATCGTATTTACTGTTGCATCAATGTTGTTGGGCAGTTTTTAGTGTCTACTAAAGATACAGGTCACTTAAACAGCAGAGCCCAATTTCATATATTGTTATTACTGCACTGATCACTGAGTATGGTTCTTTCTTTTTGTTTGCAGCGACATTTTGGTTAAACCCACAGTTTAAGATCCAGCTGCAGCACCCAGACAGCCCTGGGAGCTCTGACTGCAGTTTTGTGGCCGCTCTGATGCAAAAAGACCGGAGGAAGAAGAGGAGGGAGGGCAAAGACATGGAGACTATTGGTTTTGCTGTCTATGAGGTAACAAACATTTACATCGATGTGCATTTTTTACCCTTACGGTTTAGTGTCTAATCCTGTTTTTCCTTTTTTTGTGTTTTCACAGATTCCACGAGAGGTACTGCATTCTGAACAAGATTTTAGTAGTTGTTGGAAAAGTATTCTTTTTTTTTCTTTTGACTTGAATGAAGGAATACTTGTACGAGTTATGCTTTTGTAATTGGAAAATATATCGTTGCTAAGATATAACTTTTGTCTAGCAATTAAGGCCCTCCTCCAGGCCAAATAAGAAAGTTGGGGGAAGAGTTATGTGGTTGGGCTTTAAGATGGTTGTGTTTCCAGTGTTTTACCAAATATAGCTAAATTGTAATTAATCAAGTAATCTATCTTGTGTTACAGTTTGTGGGTAAGTCGGGGGTGCACTTGAAACGTGACTTCTTCTTGACCCACGCCTCCAGCGCTCGCTCGGAGCTCTTCATAAACCTGAGAGAGGTGAGCTCCAGACTGAAGCTGCCGGCCGGAGAGTACATCATCGTCCCTTCCACTTTTGAACCACACAAGGAGGCCGACTTCGTGCTCCGTGTCTTCTCAGAGAAACCGGCTGGTACCGAGTGAGTGGAGGGTTCAAATCTGCATATGGAGTTTTCAAAGCTAAAACCATGATAGATCCTAATGGAGATGGCATTGAAAACATACAAATCATATCACAGCTATGTTTCCCAAACTCGAGCTTCTGCTGATTCTCAGGGTCCTCTGTCACATTAGAATAAAATGCATGCTTTAGTAATGCATTAAAGTTACATTATGTAACTTTTCTGTTGAGAATCTACCACCTGCTACTCTCCAGGGCGATGGTTTTGCTTTGCCTGGAATGTTTCACAATACACTGATCCCTCATTTATCACAGGGGTTACTTTCTAAAAATAACCCACAATAGACGAAATCCACAAAGTAGTCAGCTTTATTTTTTACAATTATTATTACACTTTATACACTTTTCTCAGACAGGACAGGTACAACCCTTTTTGCATCCTTCTTAAAACTTATTGCTGCTGTCGTCCTTTTGTTATTTTCCTCCTTCTTTATGTAACGAACCGAAGATTAATTTATTCCGTAATGACGCCCTATAGCCGCGTAGCTTCTACCTTCCCTCAGTATGTCCAGAAGTCCAAGTTTTTGAGCGATGGTTAGCATCTTCTTCTGCTTTTCGGGTCAACATTGTGGGTTTTGTCGGGGACAAAACTTGCGAACAGGCAACACTTCAGAATCACACTGCTAGAGATCGAGCATTTATGCAAATTTGGCTGAACACATTCTGTACTGTACAGGAGACACGGCACAGAGGAGACTGATTGACAACGGTCTACACTCACTTATCAAATCAGGACACAGGGGAAGGAACATGCACATTTATACGCTGTAAAAAAAAAGCCTGCAAAATTGCATTAAAAAAAAATCAGGAAACAACGAGGCTGCGAAAGGTGAACTGCGTAATAGTAAAGGACAATTGTATGGCTTACCTTGCATATATTCAGACACATGTGTTTTTATTGCTCAAAAAATACCTTATCTTGAAAAAAATGCTTTCTTCTTTCTGGAAGTGGGTGCACATTTCCACAGACCTGATCTGGTGGTGTCACAGAGACAGATATGTTTAATGCCATAGTGTGAAACTTTCCTGGCAAACCCACCACCATTACCTTCTGCATCTTTAAAATGAGCTTCCTAGTTTGTGAAGTAACTTTATCCTTGTCCTTTATTCTCCAGGGAAATGGATGACGACATTAAAGCAGAGATCCCTGCAGATGTAAGAGCCCAAAGCACTTCCATAAGAAATATTGCTTGTGACTTGCTTTAAATGTTTTTTTGTTTATATATTACAGAATTATCTTGATGAAAGCCAGATTGACGCAGGCTTTAAGAGCTTGTTCAGACAGCTGGCAGGAGCGGTGAGATATTTTTAGACTTGAATAAATATGCATTAAGTCTAAAATGTCTCAAAGCATCTCTTATCTTTTTGTTCGTGACAGGACATGGAAATCAGTGTTTCAGAGCTGCAGACTATTCTTAACCGAATCATCAGCAAACGTGAGTAAAATTAGCAGATGTTTGACGACCTTTAGCGTATTATGTCACTATTAATTATGTGTTTTTGCTTTATTTTGAAACAGACAAAGACTTGAAAACAGACGGCTTCACAAAAGAGTCTTGTCGCAGTATGATCAACCTTATGGATGTATCCTTCACCGTGTCTTTTATTTTGAAGGGACATACATCAGCCATAGGAGCGGACAACAAGTGTGTTTGTCTTAAATGTTGATGTATTAGAAGCTGGAACATTCAATTAAGTTTGATTAAGCACAAATAGCAATGGTTAGGTAATCAATTACATAACCAGAAATGATCCTCTAAATGTTTATAGTGGATAGTTTTGTGTGGAATTTCTTTAACTCTGTGTATTCAGAAAGACGGCAGTGGAAAACTAGGTCTATCTGAGTTCCACGTCCTTTGGGAGAAGATTAAACGATACTTGGTGAGTTTTGGCTTTTATACTTTTTATTGTATTTATTCATGTGTTGAGAAATATTGTGATTTTCTGTATATGTTTTTTTATTTGACCTGTATTTAGCATAATGACGTAATATGATTGATCGTAATTCACTAGGGCATTGACACTGGGGTTGGCAATATGACAAAAAAAATCTGAATTTCTTTTTCCTCAATGTTGATCAAGCACAATTTTTGATTTGATTTTAGAACAAAAACAATCTTTCAGTCATAATTTCTTGAACATAACCTATACTGACTTTTAATTAATACTACTAAAACAAAAAAATAGTAAAAAATGTCTAAACTCTACTCCAAAGCACATGCTTTTTCTGGCAGAGGATTGGTTGTGGACTTATTAAAAAGCTGATCACTGACCTCTGAATCTTAATCTTGAACAAAATGTGATTAAAAGCACAGTCCTGATTTGATAAGAAGAGAAAAGAAAAGTGTTTAACAAATTATTTACTTTTAGCTGTATTATGTGTGGATTTCCTCAGTTCAATTACTAATAATATGTAAGATATGTACACATGATCCTTCCAAATTGTACAGATATAATGAGCCATCTGGATTTGTAACATATTGTGCAATCGATGACTCCTCGTATCTCCTGATGTTGCTTTAGTGGGCTGTTATTGGCTCTGATTCAGACCACTTGCGTCATGTTACGTTTGAGTAGTAATGCTGCCAGTTCTTCCAGACAGGAGCATGGTGTTCACTTCACCCGTAACACACTTTTAATAGTTTCGTTTGGTTTCTGTTCCAATTTGTAGACTATTTTCAGGGAGTTTGACTGTGACAAATCAGGCACAATGAGCTCCTATGAAATGAGGAAAGCCCTGGCAAACGCAGGTATTTGGGTCACTCACATTTTAGTTTTTAAAAGTGCACTGTGTAACATTTCGGGGGGGAGGGTGCCACCAGTTTGTATCCATAAAGAATTTTGGAAAACACCTGTACTTGAATAAATGATACTTTATGTTTAATGCTGTATTGGGGAACAGGCAAGGCAATATCTCGTCCATGGAGCTAGCAGTCGTGTACCCTCCTCCACAAAAGTTACATAGTGCAACTTTAACACGTAAACACAGGCATTTACACTTTAATAAATGTACCAACTACACATTATGGTTACATTATTACAGTTTTTCCATTAAATCTGCAAATTAAAATAAACGTAAAAATAAATGTTGTCATATTATTTCAATAAAATATGACTTTCTAAACCTTTTTCTCAGGATTTAACTTGAACAATCATCTTTTCCAACTCATCATCCTGCGGTACACTGAGGCAGACATGACTGTTGACTTTGATAACTTCGTCACATGTTTGGTTCGACTGGAAACCATGTACAGTAAGTCCAAGCTTTAGTCAGGTTTTTATTTATTTATTTATTTGATTGGGACAGAGCATGTTAATGGACAAACATGACACAACGTGAATGTAAACACACCGGATTGTAACCTAAGGCTTAGCTCCGTCCGTTGTCCCAAACGGCTGGGGTCACAGGGGGTCAGACAGTAAAATATTGCACACGCCACTCATTACACAGTTCCCATCTTTGCACACTTCCCATTATTGCACAGTTCCCATTATTGCACACTGCACTCATCACTCAGTCCTAATCCTGGTTTAGTCCCATTTTACTCCTGTTTAGATCTGGTTTAGTCTAGTCCTGTTGGTACTTGCTCTAGATAAATGCATTTTATTGTCACAACCATTTATTAATATCCTATTTTCTGTTTGTTTTACAGAGACCTTTCAGACATTGGACACGGATAAAGACAATGTTATAAAGCTAGATTTTGTTCAGGTAATTTTTACTTAGGCACCCATACATACATTAAAACTTTTATGTAAGTATTTTCGGAGTTTTAGAGATTGGTAACCTAGAGAAAATTCCCGCACACAGTCTTACTTGCAAATTGTGAGATTTATTAGGACACACTGTGCAACATTTCGGCACTAGACCTAGTAAGTGTGCAGGATTTTTCTCTATGTTCTTGGGCTGCTCTCTCTACTCCAACGCACCCATCTCAAGTAATTGAATGTGTGAAGTTCTCATTCTTTTATACCATTAGAGATTGGTAACCTCACAAAATTTGCAGTTTTGGAGATGCTCAGGACACAACTAGCCTTACTAATGCAGAGTAGTACATATTATATAGTAAATAGTTGGTGAAAATTTTTGGATTGAATGACTGAAATAAAGTACAATTGTTGTTTTGTTTTACTATCCACATGAAACAAAAACTGGCACAAAGTTCAAGGTCTTCTCTGTCAGTATAAATGGCCTCATTATTCAACCCCAAAAGTGTGATTGTTTAATATGGCTTAAGTTTGTGGACCCAATCCTGAACAAAAAATTATATGGTTCAACAGATGTGGATCATGGGTTTGGATATTTATATTTGGATATAAACGGTGAATCTCCCTTACAGTGACATAAGCACTACAAATTAGGACATCATCAAATATTAGAACACAGCTTATTTGTTACTAAGGTGTATTTGATATGTATATTTGTATTGATGACTTGTGTTATTTTCTCTCCCCAGTGGATAATGCTGACCATGTTTGCATAGACCTGAATGGAGCCCAGTGACTGCAGTGTCATTTACAGAAGTGCCTTTTCCAGCTCCAGGGCCACTGCTCGCCATGACAACCAAAACAACAAGATCTACGAGCAGTGCCTCTCGTATACGTGCCAAAATGTACAAAAACGAAGACAATGCAAAACAACCATCTTAATAAAGTTAAAATTGTAGTCTACGTTATACCAAGTCTAGAGAAAAGATTTGTCAAGTATATTCAGCTTAAAGATTCACTCTGTAACTTTTTCTGGTGGAGGGTCAGCCACCTGGTTACCTCCATGGAGATTTGTTCCACAGTATTGCATTGGTGTATTAAATTAATCATGCATTCATTAGTCAAAATTGCTCATAAATTTCAAGAAAAACGATCTTACTTTGAGCCTGGTCACCTCTCCACAAACCTGACCTATAACTCGGTCCACTGGCACCTGTTTCCATGGAGATAGATAAGTTAGTTAATGACATACTGTCATTGCCTTATTGGACATTATACTTGTGTGAAAGTGGACCGTTCTCCAGAAATGTTACATGGTGAACCTTTCAAAAATATCATAAAAAAAATTGGGTCTAAAATCGACATTGGCTTTACTGATTCTAGCACTTTTAACTAATTTAAGATCTGTAATTTTTCCATTAAGCCACCAAATATACACTTAAATATCAAAACTTATTGCCAAAATCTTTGCTATCATAGTTTGAGATGCCGTATTAGACTAAAAATCATATCCTCATGTATTTAAAAGTGTAAAGAGAGTATACAATATAGAAAGTGCTTATTAGAAAAGAAAATATGTTTACAGAAACAACAAGCAAAATGAAATGCCTATATCAAGACATGTGTCATTTTCAGCATTGCACTTTCATTTGTTTGGATTCTTTTAAATGAAAATAAATGATTTGTTTGCCTTATTGCCTCTTTTAGCTGCCAAACAACCATTTAGTATTTTTAAAGACAACAGAGTAAAATAGATTTGTTATTAGACTGATCTGACCGCAAATGTTAACACATCAAATATATGCACTATGTAACTTGCTTTTCTCAATGGAGATGTTATAGCTTTTCCAGTAATGTTCCACAGTATGGCATTAAACTTATCTCTCCATTGAGATCAAACAGGTGACAGTCCCTCCATCTTTTAATCTTGTATTATTTGTATTTCCTCACTGTACGTTTTATATAGACATTCAGCACTGTCTGTAAAATTGCTGCAAAAGTTTGACTCAATAATTTTCAGATTCTGATGTCAAAGCGAGTACTGTATTTAAGAACGACATCTAGTGCTAATTTGAATGTCAAAATCTTGCCTTTGTAGCGGCACTGCTGGTCTGGCAACAACAATGTAAAATGCTGCGATCTGATAGCTGTACATGTTATGTCAAATCAAATGTACTTCTTAAATGTCTCTTATGCATGGCACTTTTATGGCCAAAATACAAACTTTTAAAATCATGGACGAAAAAAAGGGATGTGTCAGCGTTGTATAATCATGTCTATGTGAAGGGATCAAGTAATTTTGGGTGAAGGTTTGACCATTGTTTAAACTGTATGCATGTGATCTGCCTGCTTCATTTAACTTGGGAGCAAAGTGTGAATTCAAAGTGTTTGATTTTTAAATATTATGCCACGTATCATGACACCAACCGGCCTTAACATTATGACCACCGACACGTGAAGTTAATGAGTTAAGTTGTCACGGTGATACCAATGTGAGTAGAAAGTATATAAATTGAATCATTGTGTTATTTTGGAAAGCCTTTGAAATAAATCATCTCAATTCCGATTAATTGATCTTGTCTCGGTGTACGAGGACTGGCTGCAGGTACTGGGGTTCAGATCAGAGTTCTTTTTGTTTAAGAAACTGGCAACCCAAATGAGAGACTTGTGTGAGGCTCATTCTGTTTTCTGATTGGAATGAAAACACAATTTTTTAACGTAAACATCTTGGATATGTCAGATATTTTCATGATGAATAAATCAGCATTACAATTTTTACAGAGAGCTATATTTGATTTTTGTATCTAGGGACAGTTAGATTGTGTTTATCGACTTTAAAATAAAAATTGTTCAAACAGTTCCTCTAAACATGTAATTCAAAAGTGAAACCTGAAATTCTGGACTGGGTTTAGTGAATTTTGATCACGACCCTGGCTGCATATTTTAGAGGTGGTTATAATGTTCTGCCTGATGGTGTTTTTTAACAAAAGGCAACAATGAATAAAAATAAATAATAAAACACATTATCAATCAATGTTCATCTGCAAGTGTTAACAGATTTTTTTTTTTTACCAATTACTTATTTTGTAAATACCAAATTTGAGTTTAAAATTTAGAAACTGCCAGGTTTTTATTATGCCTGTGTCGGAAAATGCCAGCATTATGTTTTGCCTTTTAATTTTTAGCAACTGTTTACAGTTAGAAACCGTTTCTTTTATGTAACACATTGAGTTCTTAAATGCTTTGACAATAAAATTTGTTTGAACCGTAATGCCAAATGTTGGACTTCAATTAAAAAAACACAAGACAAAGAACAAATATTGTAATAAATAGTTTTTAGTAACAAGATTCAAATATAAAACCACTTCTAATGTACAGTCAAACATATCACATCTTCACAGAAATTGTCATTCATTGTTAAGTTACATTTTTACACATTGATCGAATAGTTTTAAGTTAGCACAAATAAATTTAAAAAGTTATAAAAAGTTCCATCATAATCTCATCTGGAAACCATGGTTACAGGAATGTTACAAGGTGCACGTTGGTGATTTGGTTTTGGATTTCTCAGACGACATAAAAACATTTTGACCTAAGACTAAAATAAAAACAGCCCAATAACATCTGAAGGTTAAAAGGATAAATAGTCTTGTTAAATGCGGTCTTATTTATATATTTACAAGTTTTCCAAATACAGAAATGTGCAAAGGTTATAGATGATAGGTGCGGTAGATTATCAATAAGACAAGGAACCAAAAGATGTATTGATTATGAAAAAAAAAAAGTTATGAGGGCTATCAAAAAGTGCAGACCTCTACCAAGAAACTAGTCCTGTCTCGCAATGATAACAAAAGCTGCATTTTAAGTCTCTGGATGAGGCACAATTCTGGAAGTCTGATTGCAAACCAAAACATTGCTGAACTTCAATAGCTAACAATGTTTAACTTTATTTTTATTATATAAGAACTCACTATTCTGAATGTTTTTCTTTGGACTGTATTTAAAAATTGTCGCCTTCTGAAATGATTAATTTCAGTTTACTAAAAAGTGCCATTTTGAGTAATTTTCACTAATCAAAAGAAATAATATTTAAACATTTCAATTGCCATGACAACTATGCAAACTTTCGCTCTAAACCCCGTTGGACACCTGGTTTCTTTTTCCCAAATTTCTCCTCACCTTCTCAAAACATTTACACATTTCTGTTTATTCATTATATTTTTGCATTGCAAGTCTTTTTTTTTTTTTTAGGCGTAGTTGTTGTTATGTTCAATCCTGGTCACCATTGTGGACACCAGCCTCTCCAGTTGCTCCGCCCGATGCTTTCCGGTCTGAAGCACCTCCTCGTGGTTGGCTTTTTCTTCACTGTCGTAGTCCATCACGGCTTGGTTTGTGATCAGCGAGAGAGCGAACACGCGCATACCGCAGTGCCGGGCCACGATCACCTCTGGAGCAGTACTCATGCCTGAAAGATCAACAAAATCAACCATGAGTTTAAAGGTGTTTAGAGTTTAGAGGTGCGCTATGCAACTTTTTGGTTACGGGTCGGTCACCTGCTTGTTTCTATGGCTATGTCATAAATTACAAGTGGTTTTATAGCTCAAAAAATACGTAGAAAAACTGACAGGAACTTGCAACTTGGTCTGGTTTGGTCTCCATGAAGATAGAAAGGTTTAATACCAGACAAAGCAATAACATCTCCAGGAAGAAAAGCATTTGACAGACCCTCCACCAGAAAACTTACACAACGCACTAGGGATGTAACAATAACCAAAATATCATGATATTGTAGTGTATTGTATCGTCAAAAGTCTCACAATAATATCATGCGCCATCACAATAAATCAAATTGCAAGTCTCTTTGCTTAAATGAATAGTTATGGTGATTTTAACTTTCTTATTCTGTAAAACACTTTGAATTAGTTTGTTTCACGAACTTGTCTTGCCGTGGTGCAGAAGTAGCTAAAAAACAGAGGGAACTACATAGACCATGATCCTTTGCTGTTGTCAGTGCACACTACATGAAGAAACAATTATTAAATACTTTAAAATCTTAATTCTTCATAGTAAAACAGTACCGATGGCTTTTCAAGGCTTTTAAAAGGAAAAAGTAACATTCACAATTTTGTAAACCTCTACCGAACAATATCGTATCATATCGTAATATAATTTCGCATCGAGGGATTTTGATATCGTTACATCCCTACAATGCACCTTTAAATGTAAAATTGAGTGATTTACATAATAGTTGTTCTTCATCAGCACTAAAATGTGATCTAATAGCACATAGCACCGGTAGATAAATTTAATTTTGGTGGGTTAAAGGCAAATTAGGACAATTTCACACTATGCTCTAGTTTAGTCCTGGTTTGAGCCCAATTTAGTCCTCTTATAGACTAGGTTTGGTCCTGTTCCAACCCTGGTTCAGTATTAATAATATGTTTTTATTAACACTGTGTTATTGAAATCAGTTTTGAGCCTTTCCCTCACTGTCAAAAAAATCAGTGTAATCTTACAAATGCTATGTGCTATGTTTATGTTTCTAATCCCTGATAAAAGATGCTGACTAAGATCTTTCAAGGCTTCCAAATTCATACCATTCTACACTTTTTATGCATTTTAGACATGTCATAAATTCTCCACTCACCGACAGCATCTGCTCCCAGCCTGTAGAGCATTCTGCACTCAGCGATGGTCTCAAAAGTTGGACCCCCCAGGACGCAGTAGACGCCCTCCTTCATGAAGTCCTCATACCCCAGCTCCTGAGCCACGTCCATGGCCAACTGCCTCAGCTCGCGGTCGTAAGCGTCAGACATACAAGGAAAACGAACGCCGAACCTGCAGGAAAGAGAAAGAAAAAGGGTGAGAAGTCAGTAAAATTTAAAGGTGTAAGGGATATGTGACTATCGTGCCCCCCAGTACTCAAAAAACATCGTGTACTTTATATTGGCATCTCAAAATCACACTTTGTTGCTCATTGTGTTGATAAAATAGAAGAAGCTATACTGATTAAAAATAACTACATGAAAATACTGTATCAAAGGGAGAAGTGTAGTTGAACCAGGGTTGAAGGTTAAGTTACATATTTTAACTTTGAGAAACAATTTGAGAAAATCTTATTAGGCATATACAAGAGTTTTTTGCATTTTTTTTTCTAGTATTGTGATATTTTTCAAGGCTACTTTTGCATATATTAGAAGTTGTTGAATGATTTGTATTTATAACCTCTTGGGAAACCTGTTACAGCAAGATATACCAGTCAAACTGTTAAAATAACTGCAATAATATGTGGATTTTGTTGCATTTCAATACATCTTAATGCCAATCCACACAAACCTACCTCTCATCATTGGGACCGACAAGCGGGCTGAGGCCGGCAAACCCAGGGATGTTGATGTGGTCCTTTATAATCATAACATCTCCAACTTTAAAATCTTCATTGAGTCCGCCGGCTGCGTTTGTGAGAATAACAGTTTCAACACCGAGCAGTTTGAAGATGCGCATTGGAAGGGTGATCTGGATAGAAAGACAGAAAAGAAAGGTCATTTTAAGGAATATACATTTATAGTTGTTTCAAATATTTTCAGAAAGCCCACCTTCTGCGCAGAGTAACCCTCGTACAGGTGGAATCGTCCCTGCATGCAGACACAGGGTCGTCCTTTTAAAGTGCCAAACACCAGTCTCCCCGCATGTCCATGAACTACAAAGATATAATAATATAAACATTTTATATACTAATAATAAGATAAGAGAACCTACATTCATCCGACAATGAAGAAATTTCAGTTGCAAAGTAAAGTACAAGAACAAAAAAAAATATAAAAAAAATTCAGCATTTTTAAGAAGAATTTAGATAAAAATGTAAACACAGACTTAAATCAAAACATAAAACTAAAATATTAAAATATAAATAAAGTTATATTACAAAATTGAGTAAAAATACTGACAATATAATAAAATAAACACCATGCTGTCTCCGATTAAATGGTGTAACATGTTTTTATTTCTTTATTAGATATATTTCTCTAATAATAGATTTAGTTTTGTGTCAGATGCCCTTCCTATAACTTCAAAGTGCTTACTATAATTAACTTGAGCCGGCATGTGGGTTAGGCATCTTGCCCAAGGACAGTATAGTATATTCAGGGGCTCAAACCACTAATCTTTCAGTTTACCTCCTGCCTATTCAAAATAAACACTTTGATTCTTATTTTTTCTGACTAAAATTTGACTGTTTGGGATTTCTACTTTTGATTTTCAACTCAGGGAGGTGCACTGTCATCTTATAACCGTTTGGTGGTTCAGTCCCAGGTTTGGTCATTGTGTCCTTCACCCACATTGCTTGTATATGTATAAATGTGTCACGTGAGTGACTCATTACAATGGCATGTAGGAAATTAATGCAATCGAAGGCATCCATAAATCAGGATATAACTAATTTGTTTTATTGCTGTAATTAAAAAGTGCTCTGTAGTTCCTGTAATTACTTTGAAGGGACAGCAATTTATGTTTTAATTTTGCTCAAAGTTCACATTTTAACAGAGACTGAAAAAGGCCTATGAACTGACATGCTAAAACAAGAATCACATGAGTTTCAGAACATGTTTGTGCAGATCTAAACTTTAGGATTAGCAATTTTCATGCAAAATAAGACAAGGACATTTTGTTGTTTGTGGAGGAAATTATGGCGCTTCTGAAATAGATTTTGATTTGTTTGCGATTCATCTTGCAGCCCTAGAACTTACCGGTGCTTTGGGGGAAGTTGGGGATGTCTTTGTAGTTGAATGCCACCTGATCTTTCAACATGTCAGCCAGCCCCCCGAGCCCAGAGCCGCACACGATGCCAATGGTGGGACGAACGTCGGTCTGGGCCAGCAGCCAATCAGCCGTGCCTTTGCAGTCATCATAGCTATAGCTGCAAAAGAGAAGGTCAGAAGGTAAAATTTATTGAGTTAGGAGAGTACTTCAACAGGATCAAATAAGCCCATGTAGTACTGACCAAGTTAATGTTAACTGCTTTGAAACGTGTCTTCATTATTGGATTACATTAAAGGGTCAAGTGCAGAAATACTTTGCATGCTATTTAACTTTTTTAGGGAGTGATATTTTTGTCCTACATAAATAGCACATTTGCTGCCTTATTTTGAGGCATTTTTAAGTAATCGTAGATAGAAGAATCAAAAGAGGAACAAAGAAAACGTTGAGTTGCATAATGTTAGCTTTAAAGTATCCACCCAAATCTACTCTCTTGGGATGTCAAGAATGAATGGCCCACTACAGCGCATGCGCTAAAAACTTTTTTGGCTCCGAAGACGAGAACCATGTGGCAAGAAATTAAAATTATTAAGCTAAGGTTTTAATGTACTTACCCTTTGTTAGTCTCGGGAAACATTTTTTAATTGATAGAGGTAGTAAAAAACGTGAAGTAGGCTATGCAACTTTTAAATAGTAAGTTAATTTAGGTCCAAAGCACCAGGATATACAAAAACGTCTGGAAAAAAGTATCTTCGATGTGTTGCTGAAGTAAGATATTCTCAGGAGGTAAGTTGTTTCTTCTTTTTAAAGGTACTTCACTCGTAGGTTTCTTGCCGGAGTCTGTACAAGAGGCGCGTGCCCCGGTTTATTATAGAGCCGCGTGGGCCTCCTGACCCTCCCCAACTACTGATGACGCATTTAAATCCCCCAACGCGATTGGCTGAGCCGACACACCTTCAAAAAGTTGATCATTTATCGACCCAAACCTGAAGAATACAAGTTTTTTGCTCTTTCTTTGAATTCCCGACATAAAAATGCACTTTGTTCAAGTTAATATTTAATATTTATCTCATTGTAAAGAAATTAAGAAATATAACTGCCTTCATTACTGATGGTGATTCCCGTTAGTTGTGAGAATTCTCAGTGGGTCAAGGTACGTATTGTTTTGAACATCACGTGTCCAGTGATTCTTTCTCAACAGCAATGTTTATGTTTGAGGGGTTGACAAAGTTCAGGAATTTTGTAAGCCATGGCCTTGTAGTACAAGCACGACAGGTACTGGTCATTCTTGTCAGGTGATGATGATGTGATAAATAAACGATGTAATAAACGATTATCTGATTAAAGTGACCAGACGTCCCTATTCACCCGGGACAGTCCCAGTTTTGAACCCTGTGTCCCCTGTCCCAGCAGATTTATCCAAAACCACTGATTTGTCCCAGTTTTATGCAAGAAAGGTCCCACGTGTCCTTATTTTGGACCAATTTGATTCCTGCCAACAGTAAAAAGAGGCATACATTGACATTTGTGGGATTGTTCTAATAATCTAATAATAGTAATTTTATTCAGACCTACAGTTCAAATCTTACTGTAGTACAGAAAAAAGTTCCCCAATAGTACTAAGATAAAGTACCCACAATAAATATTGAACCCAAAAAAGTGTTAGTCTATTATTTATTGAAAGATAAGTCACTATTATAGAGTAATTATTGTGACAGGCCTAAGTATAACATACCCCGAAACAAAACTTGATTCAAACTATCAACCAAATGTTTAAACAAAGTATACTGTGTTGGTGTTACCAAATTACAACAAAAAATGCATTCGCCTCTAGCCTGCATGATTTGGTCACAAGTTAAATTTTATAAGGTTAAATGAAAAATGCCACTTTCTTTGTACCTGCCCCAAGCAAAGTGCGTTATCATGGGGTAGCTAAGTGAATTCCATTTTATTTTTTCATATTTTGACAGAGCTACCTACTCCCCTCTCCTGATATTTTTATGTAAATTGTCAGATAAGTTGAAAGGCTTATCGTTAAAGATATGAGCTCATAACTGTTTGCACTATCCATAATAAAGTTTATGGAATGCATTGTTAGCCAGTTAGTTAGTAACAAAATACAGATAACGGTCTTAATCTTCTTCCATTATATAACAGAGGGAACATGTGTTTATTAGCAGTTTTTTTCCACATTTTAATCCAAATATAACTTGAGGGAACGGTCACATGGTGTTCAAAATGTGTCAAAACATGTTGCATCATTTTTGTGATAAGTGAAAGGTTTTTTTGGTTGAGTTCAAGGAGATGTTATTGCTTTCACTGTAATGTTTTTACATGGAGACAAACATGTGAAGGCACCAGACCAAGTTACAGGTCAAAATCTGTGGAGAGGTGGTAAAAAAAAAAACTGCTATAAACAGCTATAATTGAATAAATGCAAGATAGAAAGCGTTAACATCTCCATGAAGATAAGTGATGGACTTCCACCAGAAAGGTCACACAGTGCTTTTTTAAAGTTATAAATAACATGTATCACATTTTAACTGGTTTGTTTCAGCTTAAGTCCGGGTTGATCGGTACAGTACAGGACAGTCACAAGGTAAGTCATCTGCTCCAGTCCCATAGTCAATGTGCCATAAAAATAACTGTGAAATGCATGAAACAGTAACCGACATCTACTGTATGCACCATGTGAAACTCCTTATAGTGTCACAGATAAGACAACCTTGAGTTCACTTTATCAGCAGTGTTTCCCACAGACCGGTGCTTGTGAAGTCAACATTAGTCATTTAAATATATGGGAATGTATGTACCATGAATGTAACATGAAAACGTATGTAACAGGATTTGTAATTGACAAAGATTTGATACTTTTCTTGAAGTAAACCACCTTGTTATTACAATTGTGTGGTTATATCCTCGTGTACAAGTTAATGTTTAAAAATCTACTCACAAACAATTTTTGGTACTATTACCCAAAAATCTATGCAATAACAATAACATAAATATTTGGAATTAGGCCTGTTTACATTTCACCCTTGAGTAAAAGTATTGTTACACTGTAAAATTACTCAAGTAGAAGTAATTACTTTAAATACCAACTTTTGGGACAGCTGTCACATACACACATCTTATCATAGAAACCTCTTATGGGTTTGTCATGAACTGCTTTGACTTTTAGGATCTTGCGACCTAAAACGTGGAGCTCATTCTGACGTAAACTCAGCCTAAAATGTGTGTGAACAGAACAGGAGCCTGGAGCAGGGTTTGGTGCAGCGGGAGTGTGGAGAATCTGTGACAGCCTTTCGTTCTTGTGAGCAGCTATGATGAGCAGCTGCGGATCACTGGCTCTGCTCTACTGTACGCTCAGCCAAACTATTTATTTATTTATAAATAAAATATAAATAATTATATCTATGCTCAGGTTCAGGGCTGGAGAAAGATTACATTTAACAGGGACGGTTTTTGTTGCTTCAAAATACATACAATACTTTTTTTAATTAGTCATGGATCATAATGCATTCAATTTACATATTGCTGTGACGGAAAGTATATTGTGAAGATAAGATTTATGTCATAGTCTGTCTTTATGTAAATAAATGTGATTCTATCCAAGACCCAGACCAGACATTAATATGCAGGAACACTCAGCTGGCACTGTCCCCATCCCACAGGAAACACTTTGTTGTTTTACCTGTAAAAGTGTGAACCAGAAGTCACTCTGTTTTGATATGCATGTAACTTTGTCATTCTGATATAAATACTCAAAAAGTCATAAACCTTTGCGACCCAAGTCAATAGACATTACTCGTAAATCACAAAATAAAGGTGGATTTGACCATTATTGAACATTAATGAGGATATTTTATTGTTGACTGAGTGATCGTGTTTCTCTGGACAATTAGTATTACTCAAGTTTTAAACAATGAAAAACAGTAAAGGAACCAGCAATAAAAGGATCCATAAGTCGCCTATTTGGACATTAAATGTAGCCCATTTCTTTTTCTTTTCAGCATTCAATTGAACCAGCAATATTGGAACAAAATAGTCACTAAAATAATTCAACAAAGAACAGAAATTATACAAAACATGTCTTAACATTTCAGCATGTGTCAGAACTGTATACTGCAAACCTACATGCAGATCGTGACAAGACGATAAAAAAAAAAAAATGTCTTGTGACCCACCTGAGGGTTGCAATCCCAGTCTTTGGAAAATAATGATCTGGAGGAGTAGACTCTGGGGAGATACTCGTTGAGAGGAGAGAGACTTAAGAGAGTGGCAGGCCCTGTCCTATCTGCTGTGACAAAGATTAAACCTTTTTGTGTATTTCACCAGGCTTCTCGAATTGGTTCATTATTATTCTTCAAGATATGCATAATTTTGCAATATTCTTCAACTCCCCACTTGATGCTGGTAATTTTTTAATCGTCGTCACAGCATGTACCGGAACTGAGGCTGTCAGTCAGATATGTTGACCTGTGTGTTAACAAATGACCAACCTTTCACCAGAAAATGTAAAAACTGACAAACAGCTACAGCTACTAAACCGGTACAGGCTTTTGAAAGTGAACACGAGGTCCTATTGACGTGTACTTTATTTTGTCCAGGACCAAAGATACCGGTCCATAACATTCAGTGTGACGTTGGTGTCAATTTTGTTTATGGTTTAAGTTCAGCCGCGTCACTGTGACTTCCGACTGTGTGACCTCTGTATGCGCTTGGAGCTGTCAGCTGTACAGTTCTGATCAATACATAACACAAGCTGAAGTGGATACCCTTTGACCCGCTTAGCTCTTCGGTGTGCCTCTAACGCCTCTGGCTCGACCAATCAGAGCAGAGGATTTGATGGAGTGTAGTGTCGCGTTCTTGTGTACCTTACTACAGTTTTCAGGTCAGTTCAAATCAGACTATAAATTAAGGTCAGGGTTTTAGAGATATAGGTTGCAGTATTGGAAGCGAAGACTATTGACAAAAACTGAAATGCCTGTATTTTATTTTTTATAGGTTCTGGAGTTTGATAATGTCATAAGAGAAGGGGCAAATGTAACTGTACGAGAGATTCACTCTCTTTGCAAAAAATATTCAAACCCTTTTTAACTTTTGTTTATTTAATCTGACAGAGAAGATATTGATCCTTCTGTCTGTATTTGTTTCATGTGGATAGGCCCAGTATTTACAGAGATTAAACATAAACCTGGTCAATATCTGTAATCTGAATCTGAGTTTTCTTACAATATTTGAGGTGCTCAGCAACAATTTGATATTATCTTATAGACTAAACCATATATTGTTTACTCACACACAGTAAAGAACTAAATATGGTCACATTGTGTAGTAAAATGCAACAATAAAAGAATATCTGTTTAGGAAAAAGTCGCTAACATGTCTAAATCTTAAGCGATATCAGTGGTTAAATTCAGACTTAGATAAAGTAAGAAGTAAAAGTCTTTTCAGTAAGGTCATCAGATCCTCAGGTCCACTGTTCTGCAGATGGAGGCTGTAAAAACCGAATGACGCCTCACTGTGAGTTTTACTTTGGACTCTTTGGACAGTTAAAATATGACCTGAGGGCCTGAGTGTCTGACAGGCTCATATGATAGAAGCAGATCAGATAAATAAATAGGACTAAGACCAATAACTATAAACCAATAAAAGTACTTTAAAATCTATCCTGATGCTCATGGAAGCTCTCTGTGTCGGGCCTTCATCAGTAACAGCGCTGCAGAGTTTTGGAGATGCTTCAAACATGCAAATGTTTTCTTTGGAAGACCAGAAAGGAGAGCATTACAGTAGTCAGCACAGTAATAAATGTAATAAAAGCTTGTATTTAAGTCTCTGTGCTGGCTTAAGA